CGGCCTTACGCCATACATGTTGCTGTTCGGACGAGAGGCTCGACTCCCTCTTGATTTGTTCCTAGGAAAAAGGGAGAGTATGACTGGCTCATACACCGCACTGGAATATGTGAATGAACATATGAGAAGAATTAGAGAAATGTACAGGGTAGTACAGGAAAGACTAGAACATGAATCTCGGCGAAGGGAACCGCCGATACAGACGAAGGACCCGCCACTCAAACTGAATGACAGGGTATTACTGCGTAGCCACCCGTTAGGCAGAAACAAAATCCACGATCTCTGGGGACAGGAGATATGGCAAGTCGTGGAGATGCCTAAAGCAGCAGGTGGCCCCTTTAAGATAAGACCCATCGATCACGCCAAACCGGATCGGTGGGCGAATATTGCTCAATTAAAGAAATATTGGAATAGGCAAGAAGAGCAGTTACACACAGAGAAACCCAAGACAATTAGGGAACCGGAAGTTATAACGGAAATTCACATACCCATTCCGGAACCATATCGCCATCAACAGAACAAACGCGATATACAAGTGGAGGATACCGGCAACAATGAGGATCCCGGTCCCTCCAGAAGCAGAGAGATAGTAGACCATCAGATAAGTGGTCCGCGGAGAAGTTTAAGGAACAGAAGGAATACGAAATTTTTTGTCAGCAACCATCAATTCTTTCATGGTCGCGCTGGTATGAAAACAGACTGTTCAAAGAGCTATAGAGTGAACTGGTGAAGGCACCAAATGGAAAGGGTGGATGTGAATTCTAGAACTGTTTTGTGTCTCAGGAAGATGATGTAGACACAGTTGATATGTGAAATAGGTATAACTGTTAATCGTTTACGAATGGGACGTCGTGGACAGTGAGTGGAACAATAAAATTTTTTTACGACGGTGCGATTGACTTTGGAGGAGTGCACCTGCCAGGCGTTGTTTGTGGTTGAAAACACACAAAAAAAGCAGGGGTGGATGTAACTGGGGTAGGCCTAACTACCAGTTACAAATGATAACGAACGAGAGGTCGCGACGCAGTTACAATCTGATGTAACCATAACAGGTGGCTTATTGGATCGGTCTGATAACAACCTCAAAGCCAACGCGTGCTATTTTGGGAAACGGTATGAGAAGTTTCAGACGAGCTGTCAACTTTGATGGATGGGACGCAGATGTTTTAGTGAATCGGACGGTACGTCAGAAACTGCGACATTAGTATTCGGATACATCGATTACAAGTATCGATTACGGAAATGGAGACAAGTACGACTACGATTTCAAGGCATAAATAGGAGGGGACGGCAGAACTCGCTCTCTTCCCGTTGGGGCGCTCTCCCCTTCCCGTTTCGAGGCTCTTGCCTCTTTCATCGCTCGCTTAGATCAGTCAGTCTGTGTGACTATGTCAAGTCGGTTATAGAACGGGTTAGCCGTATTGTGTTAAGAAGGATTATAGACATGTGGATTCAGTTATATGAAGCCTAGTGAAGGACTGTTAGGGGTCAGTTGATTCAGACTATTATTGAGAAGCATTCCTGTTGATTTATTGTGTTATTATGAAGCATTTCTTGATTCATGTAATAAAGGATCAATAGCGAACCTGCATCTTGAGTATCTATACTGTGGTCAATGTTGTCTAGAATGAGTGGTTAAACTCGTTAACACGTGGCACTACAGGCAATTAGGTCTCATTACATGTGGCGTTGCGAGCATGGCAACTGTTGGCTCGTTACAATTGGCGTTGTCGGCAGGATAAATGTTCGCTCGTCACAATTGGCGCTGCGAGCAGGGTCACATTTGGCGCTGCGAGTAGCCTAGGTCACATATATATATATATATATATATATATATATATATATATATATATATATATATATATATATATATATATATATATCTATATATATATATATATATGGCAACTTTTCTGGATTAGACGCTGCCAAAAAACCTACGTATGCCTCATGGGTAAGGGCACCCAGCTTTTAATATCCACGAGCCGTTAGTTGATCTGTTACGTCACTGTCCTAGCATTAAAACATTTAGTAGCGTCGTTTACTGGCAGTTAGAGGTTGTACAAATATAGCAATTTGTTGCAAGTGGTTGTATAGAGAATTTGTTGCAAGACAGAATACGCTCTAATCTTCAGTGGCAGCGGATTGATGGATTTATACAACATCACAGCACTATGAGAGCTACTTCAACCACATTGCAGAAATTGTTGCAAGTAGTTGTCGAGAGAATTTGTTGCAAGTAGGTGTCGAGAGAATTTGTTGCAAGTAGTTGTCGAGCAAATTTGTTGCAGGTAGTTGTATAGAGAATTTGTTGCAAGTAGTTGTCGAGAGAATTTGTTGCATGTATTTGTCGAGAGAATTTGTTGCAAGTAGTTGTATAGAGAATTTGTTGCAAGTAGTTGTCGAGAGAATTTGTTGCAAGTAGTTGTATAGAGAATTTGTTGCAAGTAGTTGTCGGGAGAATTTGTTGCAAGTAGTAGTATAGAGAATTTGTTGCAAGTAGTTGCATAGAGAATTTTTTGCTAGTAGTTGTTGAGAGAATTTGTTGCAAGTAGTTGTCGAGAGAATTTGTTGCAAGTAGTTGTCGGGAGAATTTGTTGCAAGTAGTAGTATAGAGAATTTGTTGCAAGTAGTTGCATAGAGAATTTTTTGCTAGTAGTTGTTGAGAGAATTTGTTGCAAGTAGTTGTCGAGAGAATTTGTTGCAAGTAGTTGTATAGAGAATTTGTTGCAAGTAGTTGTATAGAGAATTTGTTGCAAGTAGTTGTATAGAGAATTTGTTGCAAGTAGTTGTATAGAGAGTTTGTTGCAAGTAGTTGTATAGAGAATTTGTTGCAAGTAGTTGTCGAGAGAATTAGTTGCAAGTAGTTGTATAGAGAATTTGTTGCAAGTAGTTGTTGAGAGAATTTGTTGCAAGTAGTTGTCGAGAGAATTTGTTGCAAGTAGTTGTAAAGAGAATTTGTTGCAAGTAGTTGTATAGAGAATTTGTTGCAAGTAGTTGTCGAGAGAATTTGTTGCAAGTAGTTGTATAGAGAATATGTTGTAAGTAGTTGTCGAGAGAATTTGTTGCAAGTAGTTGTATAGAGAATTTGTTGCAAGTAGTTGTCGAGAGAATTTGTTGCAAGTAGTTGTCGAGAGAATTTGTTGCAAGTAGTTGTAAAGAGAATTTGTTGCAAGTAGTTGTCGACAGAATTTGTTGCAAGTAGTTGTCGAGAGAATTTGTTGCAAGTAGTTGTATAGAAACTTTGTTGCAAGTAGTTGTATAGAGAATTTGTTGCAAGCAGTTGTTGAGAGAATTTGTTGCAAGTAGTTGTCGAGAGAATTTGTTGCAAGTAGTTGTAAAGAGAATTTGTTGCAAGTAGTTGTATAGAGAATTTGTTGCAAGTAGTTGTCGAGAGAATTTGTTGCAAGTAGTTGTATAGAGAATATGTTGTAAGTAGTTGTCGAGAGAATTTGTTGCAAGTAGTTGTATAGAGAATTTGTTGCAAGTAGTTGTCGAGAGAATTTGTTGCATGTAGTTGTCGAGAGAATTTGTTGCAAGTAGTTGTAAAGAGAATTTGTTGCAAGTAGTTGTCGACAGAATTTGTTGCAAGTAGTTGTCGACAGAATTTGTTGCAAGTAGTTGTATAGAAACTTTGTTGCAAGTAGTTGTATAGAGAATTTGTTGCAAGCAGTTGTATAGAGAATTTATTGCAAGTAGTTGTATAGAGACTTTGTTGCAAGTAGTTGTATAGAGAATTTGTTGCAAGCAGTTGTATAGAGAATTTGTTGCAAGTAGTTGTATAGAGAATTTGTTGCAAGTAGTTGTATAGAGAATTTGTTGCAAGTAGTTGTCGACAGAATTTGTTGCAAGCAGTTGTCGACAGAATGTGTTGCAAGTAGTTGTATAGAGAATTTGTTGCAAGTAGTTGTATAGAGAGTTTGTTGCAAGTAGTTGTCGAGAGAATTTGTTGCAAGTAGTTTTCGACAGAATTTGTTGTAAGTAGTTTTCGACAGAATTTGTTGTAAGTAGTTGTATAGAGAATTTGTTGCAAGTAGTTGTATAGAGAATTTGTTGCAAGTAGTTGTATAGAGAATTAGTTGCAAGTAGTTGTATAGAGAATGTGTTGCAAGTAGTTGTATAGAGAATGTGTTGCAAGTAGTTGTATAGAGAATTTGTTGCAAGTAGTTGTATAGAGAATTTGTTGCACGGAGTTGACGAGATAATATTGATTGCTACTAAAAGTGCGTACGGCCTGTCAAAACAATGATTTATCCAGTTAAAATCATAAAATAGTACTACGAGGGTGACATCTGCATAAGGGGGGAGGGGGGTGTAACCTCGAAATATGAGCAGGTGTTCTGATTTTTCAAACGATGTGCTAGGGAGGGGGATCTTAAGAAAAATTGTGCTTCGCTTAAGAACGACCCCTAATTGACAAAAACACACGTATCAAAACGTATACAACATAACACTGAAAACAACGCCAGTGAAATGAACGCAATTAAACGCAACGCGTACATTTAAATCGGAACCATAATCCTCTGTACTTTGGTTTTGATCCTAAACCAAACCCGTGACACGCTTCTAATCGCTGCTCAATTTGCATAAACCAAATGCCTTGGCAGACGACGGACAACGATTAGCAGCAGATCAGCTGGCCATCTCTGGACAGAGGTCACCTTGCATTAGTCGCGCGCAGGTACATCCGGGCAGCCAGGAATTCGATAGATCTTCAAACCTGCTCGGCTGCTGAGTGCCTCCGGTAGCCTCGTTACGTCATCAGTTTGTCCCCGCCTCCTAGCCTGGCCCTCTATTGTTAAAAAAATGTCAATGGTCAACCAAGGGAGTTAACAATGAGATTTTTTTTTTTTAAATGTTCCAACCTCCTTGAGGCTGCCCTCATTAAACATCCCCCATGCCCTCGTCCAGCGGTCGTTATTTAGTATTAAGCCGCCATGTTTGGCATGGTGACAGACGCGTCGCCAACCAATGCCGTGTCGGTTATTTAAGTGGCCTCCCCTTGCTCAAACGGCGCTCTATTCGCGTCTGCGAAGATGGGATTGTGTCTCTTGGTGTAAAAGTTTGTGTATTGGTGAGTTGCAATTTTTTTAAAATGTGTTCTTTAAAAAAATTAAAATATTGATTAAAATATACGAATTGATTAAGAACTTAACAACATGTCAATGTGATTAACATAAATATTTTTTTTAAAAATTAGTTGAAAATTAATTTTTATATCATGAGATTTATCTATAGTTCTATTATTAAATGTACTATGAATAAAATGTCTAAAAAAAATGATTTTTACCGTTTTTGAAATGGTCAGTTCCGTTTAGATACCGAACTTTAAATAAAGACAAGAATCTAATTTCAATGGTGACAATTTAAAAAAAAAAGAAACTTATAAACAATCATTTAATTACAGAAAAAAAGTTTAAATCAATTTCTATTTTTTATAGTTACTTTTTTATGCCTCGTCCAACATCTCAGTGTTTTCAAAAAATTATTGACTATATGCTTCACACCTTGGACACATTTTAAATCAGAGTGTTGATTTTTACTTTCTCGTATATACGTAGTATAGAGAAAGTATTGTAATCGTGCAAAAAAAAAAATCGAGATTTTTACAAATCTCGACGTTTTACACCTCACTGATACGGAAAAACATAATTTTGCAATCTTGTCCGTATGTCTGTGTGTGTGTGTGTCTGTCTGTCTGTCTGTCTGTCCGTGTGTAAACACGATAACTTGAGTACCGTTACAGCTAGGTTGATGAAATTTCATATATAAGTATTTTATCAAAATCGTAGATCCGTATCAACTTTTGAGCGATTTCCGATAACCGGAAGTGGTACTTTTCCTACTTTGAATTTTTTAAAAGCCTATAACTTGAGTACTATTTCAGATAGATAAATGAAATTTCACATGTAAGTAAAAGATCTAATTCTCTACCTTCTGTCAAATTTTGAGTAATTTCCGTTGACAGGAAGTAGTAATTTACGCTACTTCCGATTTCTCAAAAAACTAATGTAAATTTTAAAAGTACTAATAATATTGCGCACTATTATGCACACCTTTATTAGGCGTTCGCTTGGTGCGCAATTGTTTTTTACTGAGATTCTATTCTATTTTTAAAAGTTTTAGTATTTAAAATGGATTAAAAATCATAACTATATCCCCAGTTACCATCCCCTTGTTGTTTTATATAAGAATATTCGAGAAAGTTTAGGGGAGATCACTACCGGTTTCTTTTAAAAAAGCATTTTGTAGACGAGAATTTAAAATAAAATAAAAATCATTTGCAATACAGCGTAAAGTTGTTCTATTTGTGTTACTGTTTTAGAGTTTCTTGAACAACCCAGACAATTTTTGGTATTCGTATTTTTATTCACACGAATGTTGATCTGATGGTTCTAGTTTCATTTGTCGACCTAGATGTTAATTGTTTTCATGATGTTCTAGTATTTCTGATAATCTAGTATTTTTGATTTTCTAGTATTTTTGATTTTCTAGTATTTTTTATATCCTACTATTTTTTATGTTCTAGTATTTTTGATGTTCTACTTTTTTTGATGTCATAGTATTTTTAAGTCATAGTATTTTTTATGTCATAGTATTTTTTATGTTAAAGTATTTTTGATGTTATAGTATTTTTATGTTAAAGTATTTTTAATGTTATAGTATTTATGATTTCCTAGTATTCTTGATGAGCCAGACATTGTTTTATTCCTGTCTCCAGTTGCTGACTTCCCGGTGGTTCGCTTGTTGATAACGAGATCTTTGCATTGAGTTAACATGTGGCGACAACCCAAACAAGTTTTTTGTCTGGTGACAATTCTTCTCTCCCTTGGACCGATCGTTTATGGTGAGTGGGCTGGTTCTATGGTGCTATTTATATAAGGCCTACTTTAGACGTGAAGGTGTACTTGCGTACAGGTGTACATGTGTACCGTTTGTGAAAGGCGTGCAGCGTTAAAGAAAATAAGGACTTTAATTTTTTTTTAAGTTTAACATAATCCCGCTAAGTTTCTGAGTAGACATTATTTTCCCTCAAAAAGAAAATACATTTAGTTATAGTAGAGTTACAGCTGCTGTTTATCGTATTAGTTATTTCTATTTTTGTATTATTCGGTTACCTAACTTTCTTCTCTGAGAGTAGCTGCCCCTTTTTCTCTTCTACAGAGAAGCTTATCGTGAATTATTGAATAAATTACCTTTGTTTATAGTGAGTTTAGTTATTTTAAAAAGTCCAGTTTTCTAACGAGTAACATCCCTTTTGTTGCATTACTTCCCTTTTTCCAAACTAGTTGCTGAATAGTCTGCCTTTTTATTCTAGCGAGTTAATTCGCTTTTGAGCCACCGATGTATTTGTTGTTGAATAGTTGTTGAATTATCGGCCTTTGTTTCTAGCGAGTTATTACCCTTTATTCTCCCATGCAGGCAAGCACATCTTCTGTTACTACAGTAGTTTCGCCTACAAACGTCACGGCCTGGGCAACTTTCTACCTGAGGACATCAACCCCTACCTTTGCACCCACATCATCTACGCCTTTGTCGACATCAGCAAGGATGGATCTGACCTTCGACCTTTGAACAGAAATGACCTGGGAACCAACGGTAATTTTCGTTTCGTTCATTAATTATTAATTAATAATTAATTATTCATTACCTGTCGCATACACTCCACCCACTATATATATATATATATATATATATATATATATATATATATATATATATATATATATATATATATATATATATATATACCCCATCAAACTGTTAAACCTGAAATCTACCTCACTATATCAAATGCTGAGTTGAGGGCCCACTACACGCGATAATGAAGTCGGGAGTTCCCCTCCATATTAAGCCCGGGTTCCCAAGCTAGACTAACCTAACCCTACCGTAACCTACGTCCCCACCCACAGGCCTGTACGAGCGGACCCTGGCCCTGAAGGAGAAGAACCCAGCTCTCAAGATTCTCCTAGCAGTCGGGGGTTGGAAGATAGGCTCAGAACCATTCCTTCCCATGATGCAAAGCGAAGAGACCCGAGCTAGATGGATCCAAAATGTCGTGAAATACTTAAGAAAGTACGTTGTTTTCTTTAATCATACTTTAACTTAAAATAATTGTATGTCGACAAACATAACTTTTTAGTATTAGTCTCAATTTGAACATCTTTCTCCCACATTTAGACATGGTTTTGATGGCTTTGACATGGACTGGGAATTCCCCGCCACCAGAGGGAGCCCTCCCGAGGATAAATATAGATTTACTTTGCTTATGAAGGTAACATTGTTCGGGTCCCGGAAATTGTACATTAACTTACACATGAGAAATAGATTAGCTAATGGTTTCTTGCTGATATTTTAAAATGTATATTAGAATGCTATTTTGAAATTTGAAGGTTTGAACTTTGGAGGTTTGAACTTTGAAGGTTTGAACTTTGGAGGTTTGAACTTTGGAGGTTTGAACTTTGAAGGTTTGAACTTTGGAGTTTGAACTTTGGAGGTTTGAAATTTGAAGGTTTAAACTTTGGATGCTTGAACTTTGAAGTTTTAACCTTTAGAGGTTTGAATTTTGAAGGTTTGAACTTTGGAGGTTTGAACTTTGAAGGTTTGAACTTTGGAGTTTGAACTTTGGAGGTTTGAAATTTGAAGGTTTAAACTTTGGATGTTTGAACTTTGAAGGTTTGACCTTTAGAGGTTTGAATTTTGAAGGTTTGAACTTTGAAGGTTTGACCTTTGGAGGTTTGAACTATGGAAGTTTGAACTTTGGAGATCTGAACTTAAGAGGTTTGAACTCTGGAGGTTTAAACTTTTTGACCTTTGAACTTTTTGACCGTTGAAGATTTAACCTTTGGAGGTTTGAACTTTGGAGGTTTGACCACTTTGAAGGTTTGACCATTAAAGGTTTGACCATTAAAGGTTTGACCATTAGAGGCTTCATCAAGCAATAAAAAATATGTCCATCCCCATTAGGGTCTGTATGAGGCGTTTGCTGAAGAAAGCAAAAAATCGGGGAAAGAGAAACTTCTCCTTACCATAGCAGCGGCTTCTGGAACTTTCTACATCGACCAGAGCTACGAGCCCCGCAAGATCATCAAGTAAGTGACATTCGTCAGCTAAAAGATCATCAAGTAAGTGACATTCGTCAGCTAAAAGATCATCAAGTAAGTGACATTGGTCATCTACAAGATCATCAAGTTAGTAACATTGGTCAGCTAAAAGATCATCAGGTAAGTGACATTGGTCAGTTACAAGATCATCAGGTAACTGACATTGGTCATTTACAAGATCATCAAGTAAGTGACATTGGTCAGCTACAAGATCATTAAGTAACTAACACTGGTCAGCTACAAGATCATCAAGTAAGTGACATTGGCCAGCTACAAGATCATCAAGTAAGTGACATTGGTCAGCTACAAGATCATCAAGTAAGTGACATTTGACAGAGTTACAAGATCATCAAGTTAGTGACATCATGCTGTAGGTCTCCCGATCTCACCGAATGAGTTCTGTTATAACCTTTAGCTTTCGTTATAGCTGTCAGGATTTTAAACAAACTCCCGAAAAATTAAGCCACCAATCAACTCTCAATTAACTTGAAACTTAAAAAAAAAAAATTTGAGTCTTAAAAATTAACTTATTAAACGAAATTAATACACATACACATCGAAGTACATAAAAAGAATCACAACTTTCATTACAACCCAGTGACACTTTCACTATATCTTCAACCCTTACCAATTCATATTCAGTGACAATAGCTATGCATATATTTATGCATGTATATATATATATATATATATATATATATATATATATATATATATATATATATATATATATATATATAGTCATACTCTACATAATTCTGTTCACAGCTACATCGATTTCATGTTTCTGATGACCTACAACTACCACGGTCAGTGGGAGAAGATCACAGGTCACCACAGTGGACTGTACCCCCACAAGAATGACCCCAAGACAGGCGAGAAGGCCCAGCTCTACCAGGTTGGTTTCTCTCATTAGTCCGCTCGTCTTTAATGTCAGCTACAATTCGTTGTTTCCCCGCAGGGGAGATAATCACGTCATGGTGGTTTTTTTTGGCTATTCTTTACTATGACATTAAGAAGATTTGTTTAAAGTTTTTATTTTAAGCTAATAACCTCTTATGTTTTTAGTGAAACATATATGTTTTACTGAAGTGAGGAATTAATCATTTATTTAAAATACAAACTATTTTTAGACTTATTACAGCGTTATTCAAATACAATAATATAGGCGATACTAATTAACGTGTTGTCATGTTAGCGTGCCTGCGTATGTATGTGTGTATGTATGTGTGTGTGTCTGAATATAAGTGTGTGTGAGTATGAGAATGAGAGCTCGTATATGTTTAACGAGGAGCGAGTTTGGTACTTTGAGATACGCACATAGATCACCTAGCAACTCTCTTATTCGCTTGGTTAGCGTTCATTGACGTCTAAGGACAGTAACATGAATAAAAACGAAGAGCAAAGTTAAAAAATAATGTACCCTGCTCTCTAAACCAAGAAGCGACACTTGAAGTCATTACATAGCCCTGGTTTTTAACTCTGATGAATTGTATCTTGGATGCACATTTCAACACACTTTTTTTCGACAGTAGAATATTTTTTATAGCCTGTCTGTTTGTGTACGATTCCAATCAACGAATTGTTTTTCCCCAGGACTGGTCGATTGACTACTGGCTGGACGTGGGCATTTCTAAGGACAAGCTCGTGGTGGGCATCCCCACATACGGCATGTCCTTCACCTTGGCTAATCCGACAGAAAATGGGGTCAAGGCTCCGGCAGCAGGCGGCGGACGACCGGGGGACTACACCAAGGAAACGGGCATCTTGTCCTACTACGAGGTCAGTTTTAGTTGTACTGTAATTAAAGCTATGATTGGGTATAATTTTTTACTGTAATCAAATCTTTGATTGGGTAATATTTTTACTGTAATCGATTCCTTTATTTGTTATATTTTTTTCCTTTCAATTTAATGGTTAATTAAATTTTCTTCTTTTTTAAAAACAAATTTGAAACAGACGCTATATTTTTACTTTTTTTCCTTCCGATTATATGAACAATCAATCATTTTACATTTTAGCACTAATTTTCATTTTTAAATTCTGCAACCGAAGTTGCTTCCATTTTTCATTTAATTTTTCCTTTCAAATTCTATGATTGGCCAACTTTCATATTTTTAAATGTAAACGATGCAATGATTGGTCAATGTTTCACGTGCTCCATGCAACGGGTGCTGTGATTGGTCGAATGTTTCAGATCTGCATGAACATCCGGGACAAGAGCTGGCGTACGGAGTGGATCGACGAGCAGGCAGTGCCGTACACGTACAGCGGTGACCAGTGGGCGGGGTACGAGGACAGGCAGAGTATCGCCCTCAAGGTTGGTCTCGACAGTGTGGGGGTTCTGGTGTGTCTGTCTGTGTGTGTGTATGTATGTCTGTAACATAGGGAGCGGGGTTGGGGTACGAGGACAGGCAGAGTATCGCCTTCAAGGTTGGTCTCGACAGTGTGGGGGTTCTGGTGTGTCTGTCTGTGTGTGTGTATGTATGTCTGTAACATAGGGAGCGGGGTTGGGGTATGAGGACAGGCAGAGTATCGCCCTCAAGGTTGGTCTCGACAGTGTGGGGGTTCTGGTGTGTCTGTCTGTGTGTGTATGTATGTCTGTAACATAGGGAGCGGGGTTGGGGTATGAGGACAGGCAGAGTATCGCCCTCAAGGTTTGTCTCGACAGTGTGTGGGGGTACTGGTGTGTCTGTCTGTCTGTAACATAGGGTCAGGCAGTAGGGGTACGGGGGGGGGTGGGGTATGAGGACAGACAGAGTATCGCCCTCAAGGTTGGTCTCGACAGTGTGTGTGGGGGCGTATGTCTGTCTGTCTGTATGTCTGTAACATAGGGTCAGGCAGTAGGGAGCGGGGGGGGGGGGGGCGTTCCAGGACAGGCAGAGTATTTCCCTCAAGGTTGGTCCCTGGCAGTGTGTGGTGGTGCTGGTCTGTGTGTGTATGTGTGTCTAGAGCAAGGCAGTAGCGTCACAAGGCTAGTGCGTGAGGGACGGGGTGGGGGGGGGGGGCACCGGGTGACACCATTTAAAGGGTGACTCCAAGTTGAAATGGAAATCATATAATGTACTAGCAAAACAATATTTTATCCTGTTAAAATAATAAAATATCAGGGAAGGGGTAGGGTGACATCAAACCGAAAACTGTTGGAATGGCTGGTAAGACACCATCAGTTACGGCACACCGTGACACCCGAGTTAGTGGTACCACTGGGGTTAGACGTACCATTTCAGTCAAGTACAGCATAAATCTAATAATAAACATAATTTGTAATCAGCGGAGTAAAGTTAAAATGCTAAAAATATTAGCAAAGCGTTTCACAATGTTGAAAGCATTTCACATTTTGCGAAACTTCTTTTTTGTTGACATTTAATAAACACAAAATACCTTGCCAGACCAAAACTCTTTTTCACGTTACATACACGTTGGCTAATTAAAATTGTATTTTAATTATCATTTGTTTTATGATGATTTATCGAAAGTAAACTACGTTTGTGGGTTTATACGTCTTGCCACGTATAAATGTATTTCAGTTTCGTATATACGTTCAATATACGTTTGCTAGCTTGACATTGAAAAGACAGTCCATATATTTATAGAGATTGTGACTTTGATTATGTGATTGTGATTTCAATAATGTGATTGTGACTTTGATATTGTGCTTGTGATATTGTGACTTTGATATTGTGTTTGTGATATTGTGTCTTCAATATTGTGATTGTGATATTGGGACTTCTATATTGAGATTGTGTCTTCTATATTGTGATTGTGTCTTCGATATTGTGATTGTGATATTGTTGTTGTGATTGTGTGATTGTAAGACGAAGTGACATGAATGTTCTTGTTACTGATTGACTTGTGCTCTACCTTAGGCCAACAACATACTGAAGCGAGATCTTGCTGGCGCCTTCGTCTGGTCTGTAGAGATGGACGACTTTGGTGGGGTCTGTGGAGAGGGGGAGTATCCACTGCTGTCTACAATATCTGACTCTCTGGGGGGAGCATCAGTGGTAAGTAGGGGTGTGGAGAGGGGGAGTATCCACTGCTGTCTACAATATCTGACTCTCTGGGGGGAGCATCAGTGGTAAGTAGGGGTGTGGAGAGGGGGAGTATCCACTGCTGTCTACAATCTCTGACTCTCTGGGGGGAGCATCAGTGGTAAGTAGGGGTGTGGAGAGGGGGAGTATCCACTGCTGTCTACAATATCTGACTCTCTGGGGGGAGCATCAGTGGTAAGTAGGGGTGTGGAGAGGGGGAGTATCCACTGCTGTCTACAATATCTGACTCTCTGGGGGGAGCATCAGTGGTAAGTAGGGGTGTGGAGAGGGGGAGTATCCACTGCTGTCTACAATGTCTGACTCTCTGGGGGGGGGGTGCATCAGTGGTAAGTAGGGGTGTGTGGAGAGGGGGAGTATCCACTGCTGTCTACAATATCTGACTCTCTGGGGGGTGCATCAGTGGTAAGTAGGGGTGTGTGGAGAGGGGGAGTATCCACTGCTGGTTACAATATCTGACTCTCTGGGGGAGCATCAGTGGTAAGTAGGGGTGTGTGGAGAGGGGGAGTATCCGCTGCTGTCTACAATATCTGACTCTCTAGGGGGAGCATCATCAGTGGTAAGTAGGGGTGTGGAGAGGGGGAGTATCCACTGCTGTCTACAATATCTGATTCTCTAGGGGGAGCATCATCAGTGGTAAGTAGGGGTGTGGAGAGGGGGAGTATACACTGCTGTCTACAATATCTGACTCACTGGGGGGAGCATCAGTGGTAAGTAGGGGTACGGGGGGGGGGAGTATATCAGACTCACTGGGGGGGGGGGGGCATCAGTGGTAAGTAGGGGTGTAGGGGTTGCATTATATCTGTGGTAATTATAGATATTGATGTGTGTAGTTCATGCCACTAGGGGAAGTAACTGAAATAAGTAGAGATATTAAAAGTGAATGTACCAGAGTTGCTGATGTACAGTGGGGCGTACAAAAGTATAGGGACGGCGTAGCTCAGGATAGAGATACTGGCAGCGTTGATCAGAAGTAAATATATTCATGCGTGGAAAAAAGTTACATTTTTCTCAATCAATTTAGATCTCAAGAAAATATGCACAGTCGCATTTTCCATAGTATGCTATGCTTTAATTAATTTTATTCAATTGCTTTTTTTTTCAACTTAAATTCCATATTAATTTTCTGAATATATTCACAAATTAAAAACAGTACACACAAGATGCCATTAAATATATAACAAATAAATGATAACTGTACAATCTGCGGTCTTTAAAGTCACCTTTCAGCAGTAGCCCCCGTACAGTTGTGTTCCCATTCTTCCATCCCCCAGGCCCGGGCCGCTGCCGGCCACCCAGAGTTCCGACGGATCCCCCGCCCCACCCAGCAGTTAAAAATCGACATGGACGACGAGTCGGACACACCCAAAGAGGAACCCAAGAAAACTAAAATCACACCCTGGAAGAAAGGAAAGAAGATAACCTCAGAGGCAACCACCACAACCACCACCACAACCACAGCAGCGCCGGCCCCTGAAGACGTGACCACGGAGGTCAAAGAGCGTTTCAAGGTCAGGTGGTGGTCAGGCTCCCTGACCCGCCGAACCCCCAAACCCCCGACCGTGGGGACAAAAACCACACCCACGGAGGCTCAAACCACAGTCAAACCACAAGTTCCGTTACCGGCGAAGAAGAAAATTCTGAGGAAGAAAAAAATCCAAGCGAAAAACATCAATGGTCAGTTTATGTTTTGTAGTAATCAATATTTAGAATGTTTTCTACAAACCACTCATTCTTCCAATGAAGTTCTATAAACAGCTTTGGCAGAAAAATATAACGACTCAACGAGTATTTTTTTTCAGACATTTTATTCCGAGGGGTGAGGCGGGAGAATTCTAAATTATGGGGATGGGGTGGGGGAATGGTTAAGTTAAAGTAGAAATATATTTTCTATGTAATGTAAATAATTTTTTATTCGATTTCGTCCGGGATGAGAGGGTGATCTGACAACCTCCCCCCACTCCACGAAGAAATCAACACTGAACTAAATAAATTACAAGAATTAAGTGTTAAACATTCGATAGGCCTAGCTGAAGCATTTTGATCTTGTCTAACTCCAATGAATATAAAACGTAATTTCGTGAGCTCTTCAGTTTAAAATGTGGAGAATAAAAATTAAATACTTAATTTAGAAAGTACAGCCATATTAAAGTTCCATTACTTTTGTTTTAACAATGGGCCAAGGGCGTATCCGACACAGAGTCCACCGCCCCTCCCCCTCCGAATGAAATGGAATTTATATAAAGATATATTCTTTTACCAGAGTCCGCCCCCTCCCCCCCCCCCCCCCCCCGAGAATAAAGTCTGAAAGAAACACTGATCCCACATAAAACAATACGAGCTGTAGTCCCCGTGTTTCAAATGTCCCCAGAAGCGGCGTCAAGCAGTAAAGTCAACGAGAACTCACTAGACGAGGCCAGCCCCACCGTACCTTGGTGGTCCCAGCCCTCACACAAGCAGGACCACGGCCACCAGGACCACCACGAGCCCGGCGAGAGGTCAAATGTCAAGCCATCCCTCCAGCGCAGCCTGCGCCCCAGGGGTCGCATGCCCCCCAGAGCACCCAGACCAGAGAGACACAATGTGGAGTCCCAGTCCCAGCCCGCGGCGGGGCATGGCAGGCGAGACCAGGACAAAGCTCCTTCAGCAGGTCAGTGGTGGGCAGTGGACATTGGTCAGTCTTAGTCATGGGTCAGTCTTAGTCATGGGTCAGTCTTAAGCATAGGTCAGTCTTAGTCATTGGGCAGTCTTGGTCATGGGCAAGTCTTAGTGATTGATCTGTCTTATTCATTGGTCAGTCTTAGTCATTGGTCAGTCTTAGTCATTGGTCAGTCTTAGTCATTGGTCAGTCTTAGTCGTGGGTCACTCTTGGTCATTGGTCAGTCTTGATTATGGGTCAGTGGTCAGTCTTAGTCATGGGTCAGTCTTGGTCACTGAATTTGATAGACAGACATTCAATTTTTTTAGGAATGACATTGTTTGCTACAAGTTAGACCATAGCAAGCTACAGCTCTGAATAGTTTTTATAGGCACCAAAAGAAAATAAGATCTAAATCCAAAGACGCAAATTCATGGTCTCCCGAGGCCAAAGAAGCCAAATGTATAGTTTATATACTGTATTTGGTCTGATTTTTTTTATCTGTTTCAGCGAGATACGAGATTTGCCGGGACAGGGGAGTGGGCACGTTCGTTGACCCCGTCTCCTGTGACAGCTTCATCATTTGCATGCCCGGGAACTGGCAGGACCGACCCCCGCACGTGATGTCATGCCCGCCAGGCACCAAGTTTGACGACAACCTCAAAATCTGCAACTACGCCGACAGTGTCATCTGTAGTTCCTAACACAACACACCGCAAATCTAGAACCAGATAAAACTGGGACGGAAAATTGGTCAGCCTTGCCAGAAAGGGATTTGTAAGCTAAATTCAAATTGGGCTGGTTGCATGAAACCAAAAGTACCATTTGAAGACGCCAATCATAGGCGGAAACCATTTTGTCAAAGCTAAAAATAAACCATATTTGTATTCCCTTTCGCGTTGTTATTTCTTTCTCCAACTAATGGAGACTTTATATTTGTAGTTTTTATTATATATATATATATATATATATATATATATATATATATATATATATATATATATATATATATATATATCACTGGCAAAATTACTCTAATTAATTCTATAGATTGTGCAAGTACTAAGTCTGTATCTATATAAAGTGTGAAAAGATGGTGTTTCGTCATCATATTATGATAAATGGGTGGGTAGAGAGCAATGTTTTTAATAAAAAAAAATTCTATTAGAAACTGTCGGTTGTATTAATAAATAACACATTAGATCTTCTAACACAATTTAAGACTGATTTAATGACGATTTATGAAGCAAGTTCACTAGAATTGTGTATGGTTTCTTAATGCATCTTAAAACATCTCAAATTTTTTGTAGAGCGAGATTGTACCAGAGTTGTTGCTTGATGGCGGTCAATGGAAATGTTATTTAATGTTGCTTGTCATCTTTATCATCTTTTACCCTTTTATTACCTGGGGTAATAGTGTGGTCTTCACCAGCTGCCTTTGGTTTCCTAACGTGAGTCAAGTATCCATCGTTTTAAGTGGTTGGTTCTTCTTCGTTCTTAATTCTAATGTCGGAAGAGACTTCCTCCCACACTTGCAAACAAGTCCAACCAATCACAAGCAGTTGTTTGAATTTAAGGATATCTCTTTTAGATGAGTCTCATCTGCCCCCCCCCCCCCCTTGAAAGTCTACAGCCCCCCCCCCCCTGAACGAAATGGAATGTATATAGAAAATATATACTTTTACCAGTGTCTGCCCCCACTCCCTCGGAAATATCATGCGCCCCCCCCCCCACTGAGAAAAAAATCTGAAAGAAACACTGCAACCATGAGTTTAACCAACTACGCCGACCTCCTGAGGTCAGAGGCGTAGCGACCCTTCCCGGCGCCCGAGGACAAACTTTCGATTTGCACCCCCCTCAAAGTTTCGATTTGCAACCCCCCACTCAAAGTTTTGATTTGCACCCCCCTCAAAGTTTCGATTTGCACCCCTCGCTCTCTCAAACTTTCAATTTGTTTTTCCAACCTATTTTGGCGCCTCCTAAGGGCGGCGCCCAGGGACATATGTGCCCCCCCTCGCTACGCCTCTGTCAGAGGTAGATTAAAATGACCCTTTTTTAATGAACTGATATTAATATGATGTTGAATCTAATGTGGCTGATTTGTTCCTTGGTAATGTGAATCTCTAGATCAGAGGCGTAGCGACCCTTCCCGGCGCCCGGGGACATACTTTCAATTTGGCGCCCCCCTCGGGAGCAAATTTTCGATTTGCACCCCCCCCCCCTCGAACTTTTCATTTGCACCCCCCCCTCAAACTTTCGATTTGCACCCCCCCCCCCCTCGAACTTTTCATTTGCACCCCCCCCCCCCCTCAAACTTTCGATTTGCACCCCCCCTCGAACTTTTCATTTGCACCCCCCTCAGACTTTCAATTTGGCGCCCCCTCTAAGGTCGGCGCCCGGGGACATATGTCCCGCCCCCCCCCCCCCTCGCTACGCCTCTGCTCTAGATCTAGGCCAAATGCCAGATTATTATTTTTAAGTTTTAATAATGTTGACGTGTGTCGGTCAATGAAATATTTTTAAATGGCGAAACTCTCACAGCCGGCAAAAATTTTTAACTTCTAGACCTACAGTGGAACTAAAATAGTGACGAGTGTCTAAGACTAGGCTAGAATAGAATAAGTTATTAAAACTGCTAGCCTAGAGATTCTAGTGGTCTAACTAAGTGACTTTGGGTACATTTTAATAACATTAACGAAAATTTCTGATAAAACTCTCTAGATCTAGGTCTACGTAAACTTAACTTGATTTTAAATTGGGTATTCAAAATTTATTTGGATTCTTGAGCTTTGATTTTAAATTTTAGACCGGGTGTTCAAAGTTGAAAGTACAAAAGTGAGTACTGAGTACTGAGTTACACAACCAAGTTAGTTAATAAAATCAGTTAGGCCAATGGCTAGATTTAGATTATCTAGATCTAGAATCTAGGCCCTAAAAAAAAAATATTTTTACTCAGTATCTAGATTTCTAGATCTAGAATAATCTTGAGTCTAGATCTGGAAGTCTAGATCTAGATCTAGTGTAGATTAGAATCGTTCATACCCACATTCACATACACTCAGACTCAACTAACATTTGAACATGAGTAACTTGAAACTTGCTAGTTCATTCAATCATGGGACTGTCTATTGCCCTATTGGTACTTACTACAAATAGTCCTCAGAAGGCTATTCGTAGTTGGCTATTTTTAGCCAACAAATCATATATATTTTTTAATTTATTGTCCTGCACATGCGTGCATAATTATTTTTTTTTATTATCTTGTGCATGACACTCGACTTTTTGAACAATATTGGAACTGTTCAGGTGGTGGAAGTGGTTACGCATCGGCTGGTTTGTTTTCGAGGTGTGTGTTCTATTCCTTTTGGCTCAAAGTTTTGATTTTTAATTTTATTTTACTTAGGGGCCTAAGGGTTAGGGTTAGGCATTTGTCTTAGGGTTAGGCATTAGGGTTTAGGGTTAAGCATTAGGGATGGTGATTAGGGTAGGGTAAGAGTTAGGTTTAAGGTTAGTAATGTATCTAAAAAAAATTAGTTCTACATAGCATGAATAACTTTGAATAAGGGAATTTAAGAATCACAGAAAAATGCCTTTGTAGGGCTATTGTAGTAAAGTACGAATAGCCGCAGCCTTTAGCCTAATCATTAACATTTACTGTGGAATTTGGGCAATTTCAATTGATTTGAATTTGGGTTCTTCAACACTTCTCAGTAGTCAGTGTAAACTAGATTCTAGACTCTGCAGTAGTTATGAGGACTAGCTCACTAGAGTGACTAGATCTAGAATCTAGTTTTAGTTATTAGGATGACAAGGGCTAGCTAGATCTTCAGTCTCTTTACGAGTGGCATATTCTATTTCTATATTTGATAATATATTGTGATACAGGTCATAAAAATTGAGACAGTTGTGAATGGTAGTCTCGAATAACTTATTAATTATATAAAAAGTCGGATGTGATGTTGCTAAAATAAAAGTTGCTACAAAACAAAAATTTTAAAAAGCCAAAACAATTTGGTTGTTTTCAGAAAATATCAACAAGCAAGGCCTGTGGTTTGATACAAATAATTTTATTTTAAAATTTACAAATTATTACAAAGTGGGGTTTTAGAAGATTGATTGCAGAGTTCCTGTACAGCCAATCAATGTCTGTCTTATGAAAGGGAAACTTAGGTTAGGCCTATAGTTTATGCTTGATGAAAATAAATAGAAAAGTAGCCTTAAACTAAAAAAAAATATGTTTGCACCTTTAATTTATAATTTATATTTATTATAGTTAAAATTATAGCTCTAAATTACTAGCTGACAGAAATCCCTTCTTTAATTTTAACTTAACTGTCATGCTGTGTTTATTTCAGACATTGGTGGGGGGACACTTAAAACTTACTGGGAGGGGAAGATGGACTTACATTTCCTGGTAATGGGGCAGACACTGGTTAAAGTATATATTTTGTATAGACCTATAAATTGTAGGCATATACTTTTCTATTTATTTTGAGGAAGGGAGAAATTGGATGTGCTCCATATGCAAGATCAAATCACCCTCCTAAAATCCCAGGAGCTATTGGAAATCTTATAAAGAAAATTTAAAAGTTTAAAAACAATCACAATTTCTAAATTGGGGAAAAATTCATATCTGTTTTATGGTGTTATAGGGACATACTTTTTAGGATGGGCAACAGGGTAAAATCTTTTTATCTGTCTTTAATCTCTTATAAGCTGCTAGCCCAGTGTAGATTTACATCCAAGGAAATTTTAATGTTTGGTTAAACATGTCCCATAGATTTTAGTTCCATTTGCAACTATTCCACATCTCTTCATCATGCAATCTATTATTTCCAAGGCTTTTTTTTGGAACTTTTAGTGAAGGTCAAGACAGCTGGACATAATGAAAAAACAATGATTGACACATGATTACTTAATTACTTGCTAACTTTTTAATGGCACTTGTTTTATTTTTACAGTTAGTGGTTAAAAAACAAGGTCAGTGGGGTTTAATTACAGGTCTTGTATGCATCATGATTACTGCTATATGGAAAGGTTACTCTAGGCTGCTTGGGAGGTTTCCACTGCCAACTATGTCATGCACAACTGGTAGGTAAGGAATTTATATGTTGTGTGAAGTGGGTAGTATTGCCAACTAACTAGAGTATTTATTCTTAATTTAACAATTATTTGTGATGTAGACTACATTAAAATCTAAACCAAAGATTGAGTATTCTTAATTTAACAATTATTTGTCATGTAGACTACATTAAAATCTAAACCAAAGATTGAGTATTCTTAATTTAACAATTATTTGTCATGTAGACTACATTAAAATCTAAACTAAAGATTAAGTATTTATTCTTAATTTAACAATTATTTGTCATGTAGACTACATTAAAATCTAAACTAAAGATAGAGTATTTATTCTTAATTTAACAATTATTTGTCATGTAGACTACATTAAAATCTAAACTAAAGATAGAGTATTTATTCTTAATTTAACAATTATTTGTCATGTAGACTACATTAAAATCTAAACTAAATATTGAGTATTTATTCTTAATTTAACAATTATTTGTCATGTAGACTACATTAAAATCTAAACTAAAGATTAAGTATTTATTCTTAATTTAACAATTATTTGTCATGTAGACTACATTAAAATCTAAACTAAATATTGAGTATTTATTCTTAATTTAACAATTATTTGTCATGTAGACTACATTAAAATCTAAACTAAAGATTAAGTATTTATTCTTAATTTAACAATTATTTGTCATGTAGACTACATTAAAATCTAAACTAAAGATAGAGTATTTATTCTTAATTTAACAATTATTTGTCATGTAGACTACATTAAAATCTAAACTAAAGATAGAGTATTTATTCTTAATTTAACAATTATTTGTCATGTAGACTACATTAAAATCTAAACTAAAGATAGAGTATTTATTCTTAATTTAAATTTAACAATTATTTGTCATGTAGACTACATTAAAATCTAAACTAAAGATTAAGTATTTATTCTTAATTTAACAATTATTTGTCATGTAGACTACATTAAAATCTAAACTAAAGATAGAGTATTTATTCTTAATTTAACAATTATTTGTCATGTAGACTACATTAAAATCTAAACTAAAGATAGAGTATTTATTCTTAATTTAACAATTATTTGTCATGTAGACTACATTAAAATCTAAACTAAAGATAGAGTATTTATTCTTAATTTAACAATTATTTGTCATGTAGACTACATTAAAATCTAAACTAAAGATAGAGTATTTATTCTTAATTTAACAATTATTTGTCATGTAGACTACATTAAAATCTAAACTAAATATTGAGTATTTATTCTTAATTTAACAATTATTTGTCATGTAGACTACATTAAAATCTAAACTAAAGATTAAGTATTTATTCTTAATTTAACAATTATTTGTCATGTAGACTACATTAAAATCTAAACTAAAGATTAAGTATTTATTCTTAATTTAACAATTATTTGTCATGTAGACTACATTAAAATCTAAACTAAAGATAGAGTATTTATTCTTAATTTAACAATTATTTGTCATGTAGACTACATTAAAATCTAAACTAAAGATAGAGTATTTATTCTTAATTTAACAATTATTTGTCATGTAGACTACATTAAAATCTAAACTAAATATTGAGTATTTATTCTTAATTTAACAATTATTTGTCATGTAGACTACATTAAAATCTAAACTAAAGATTAAGTATTTATTCTTAATTTAACAATTATTTGTCATGTAGACTACATTAAAATCTAAACTAAAGATTAAGTATTTATTCTTAATTTAACAATTATTTGTCATGTAGACTACATTAAAATCTAAACTAAATATTGAGTATTTATTCTTAATTTAACAATTATTTGTCATGTAGACTACATTAAAATCTAAACTAAAGATTAAGTATTTATTCTTAATTTAACAATTATTTGTCATGTAGACTACATTAAAATCTAAACTAAAGATAGAGTATTTATTCTTAATTTAACAATTATTTGTCATGTAGACTACATTAAAATCTAAACTAAAGATAGAGTATTTATTCTTAATTTAACAATTATTTGTCATGTAGACTACATTAAAATCTAAACTAAAGATAGAGTATTTATTCTTAATTTAACAATTATTTGTCATGTAGACTACATTAAAATCTAAACTAAAGATTAAGTATTTATTCTTAATTTAACAATTATTTGTCATGTAGACTACATTAAAATCTAAACTAAAGATAGAGTATTTATTCTTAATTTAACAATTATTTGTCATGTAGACTACATTAAAATCTAAACTAAAGATAGAGTATTTATTCTTAATTTAACAATTATTTGTCATGTAGACTACATTAAAATCTAAACTAAAGATAGAGTATTTATTCTTAATTTAACAATTATTTGTCATGTAGACTACATTAAAATCTAAACTAAAGATAGAGTATTTATTCTTAATTTAACAATTATTTGTCATGTAGACTACATTAAAATCTAAACTAAATATTGAGTATTTATTCTTAATTTAACAATTATTTGTCATGTAGACTACATTAAAATCTAAACTAAAGATTAAGTATTTATTCTTAATTTAACAATTATTTGTCATGTAGACTACATTAAAATCTAAACTAAAGATTAAGTATTTATTCTTAATTTAACAATTATTTGTCATGTAGACTACATTAAAATCTAAACTAAAGATAGAGTATTTATTCTTAATTTAACAATTATTTGTCATGTAGACTACATTAAAATCTAAACTAAAGATAGAGTATTTATTCTTAATTTAACAATTATTTGTCATGTAGACTACATTAAAATCTAAACTAAAGATTAAGTATTTATTCTTAATTTAACAATTATTTGTCATGTAGACTACATTAAAATCTAAAACAAAGATAGAGTATTTATTCTTAATTTAACAATTATTTGTCATGTAGACTACATTAAAATCTAAACTAAAGATAGAGTATTTATTCTTAATTTAACACTTATTTGCCATGTAGACTTCATTAAAATCTAAACTAAATATTGAGTATTTATTCTCAATTTAACACTTATTTGCCATTAAAATGTGAACTAAAGATGGTAATTTTATCTGGATAGGTTGTCTGATGGCAACAGGTGATTGTATAAGTCAGACTGTAATTGAAAGAAAAACATGGAAACAATATGACGGTATACGAACTGGGAGATTTTTAGTCTTTGGATTTTTTGTTTTTGTAAGTTTTTTTTTTTAAATTTATGGTTGAAATAAAATTAGCCAACTAGGATACTCAAAGATGGACAGGGGGTATAATTAGTAGCTTTAACTATTGAAAATTAAAAATTCTTTTTTTCTAAATAGGGTCCAGCTATGAGATTTTGGTATTTAACATTAGACAAGCTGTATGCTGGAAAGAAATTGGCAGCTTTAAAGATGACGGCCACTGATCAGGTAATTTGAAGAAAAACTAACTTCAAATAATGTGAGAGGACTGGGCATCATGTAATTAGAAGATAGACTTAAGATGTGTATTTTCTTTGACTTTTTTCTTAATTCTAATGATAGAAGGGATCCCCTCCAATAGAATTAAGTATTACGTGTCAACTTGCTATGCAGTACATAGGCAGGTGGCTCTGATTTCAGCCTGCCTTTCTTTTTGGATTTGCTTCCATAGTCTTTGTCCAACCAAGAACAAACTACACAGCAGCAGTTGTTTGATTTTGGAGTTGTCTCTCTTAGAAGAGTGGCTGTCCCCAGCTGTCGAGCCACATCTGCCCGGGGTTAGAATCGAGACTTTCTGGTTTAGCAACCAGGAGCTTTACCAACTCAACCATGCGGACCCCTGATTCTTTTACAAAACTTTGCACATTTTTTTTAGAAACATAAAACTTGCATGACAATTACTGAATATCAGTGATTTGTTTTTTTCTTTTGTTTTATTACTTTTAATGACTTGTTTTTTTTCCAGATAGTTATGTCACCTATATTTCTTTCCACTTTTTTGATTGGTATGGGCCTGTTAAAGCGGGAATCTCCAGAGCAAATCAAAGATCATTTTAAAAATGTAAGTCTCAAGCTTACACAACATGTTACCTCCTACCACTTCATGAGTGGAAGCCAAGCGTATATATTGTTATAGAGAATAAAATGAATTAGATATAAAGTACACTACATTTTTAAAAAGCAGATAGCCAGTGTTGAATTTGTCTATTATTGTATTATCAGAACACTACCACACATGTCATACTGGTATGCTTAAGTATATGTTGTCCATTGATGATGTTACCACTGATTAGGAGAGGCCATCTGTATTGTTGCTGTGATCATCTGCCATGTAATACCCACACTATAGTGCTGTGATCATCTGCCATGTAATACCCACACTATAGTGCTGTGATCATCTGCCATGTAATACCCACACTATAGTGCTGTGATCATCTGCCATGTAATACCCACACTATAGTACTGTGATCATCTGCCATGTAATACCCACTATAGTGCTGTGATCATCTGCCATGTAATACCCACACTATAGTACTGTGATCATCTGCCATGTAATACCCACACTATAGTGTTGTGATCATCTGCCATGTAATACCCACTATAGTGCTGTGATCATCTGCCATGTAATACCCACACTATAGTGCTGTGATCATCTGCCATGTAATACCCACACTATAGTGCTGTGATCATCTGCCATGTAATACCCACACTATAGTGCTGTGATCATCTGCCATGTAATACCCACACTATAGTGTTGTGATCATCTGCCATGTAATACCCACACTATAGTACTGTGATCATCTGCCATGTAATACCCACACTATAGTGTTGTGATCATCTGCCATGTAATACCCACTATAGTGCTGTGATCATCTGCCATGTAATACCCACACTATAGTGCTGTGATCATCTGCCATGTAATACCCACACTATAGTGCTGTGATCATCTGCCATGTAATACCCACACTATAGTACTGTGATCATCTGCCATGTAATACCCACACTATAGTGTTGTGATCATCTGCCATGTAATACCCACACTATAGTGTTGTGATCATCTGCCATGTAATACCCACTATAGTGCTGTGATCATCTGCCATGTAATACCCACACTATAGTGCTGTGATTATCTGCCATGTAATACCCACACTATAGTACTGTGATCATCTGCCATGTAATACCCACTATAGTGCTGTGATCATCTGCCATGTAATACCCACACTATAGTGCTGTGATCATCTGCCATGTAATACCCACACTATAGTGCTGTGATCACCTGCCATGTAATACCCACACTATAGTGTTGTGATCATCTGCCATGTAATACCCACACTATAGTGCTGTGATCATCTGCCATGTAATACCCACACTATAGTACTGTGATCATCTGCCATGTAATACCCACACTATAGTGCTGTGATCATCTGCCATGTAATACCCACACTATAGTGCTGTGATCATCTGCCATGTAATACCCACACTATAGTGCTGTGATCATCTGCCATGTAATACCCACACTATAGTGCTGTGATCATCTGCCATGTAATACCCACACTATAGTACTGTGATCATCTGCCATGTAATACCCACACTATAGTGTTGTGATCATCTGCCATGTAATACCCACACTATAGTACTGTGATCATCTGCCATGTAATACCCACACTATAGTGCTGTGATCATCTGCCATGTAATACCCACACTATAGTGCTGTGATCATCTGCCATGTAATACCCACACTATAGTACTGTGATCATCTGCCATGTAATACCCACACTATAGTGTTGTGATCATCTGCCATGTAATACCCACACTATAGTGCTGTGATCATCTGCCATGTAATACCCACACTATAGTGCTGTGATCATCTGCCATGTAATACCCACACTATAGTGCTGTGATCATCTGCCATGTAATACCCACACTATAGTGCTGTGATCATCTGCCATGTAATACCCACACTATAGTGCTGTGATCACCTGCCATGTAATACCCACACTATAGTGCTGTGATCATCTGCCATGTAATACCCACACTATAGTGCTGTGATCATCTGCCATGTAATACCCACACTATAGTGCTGTGATCATCTGCCATGTAATACCCACACTATAGTGCTGTGATCATCTGCCATGTAATACCCACACTATAGTACTGTGATCATCTGCCATGTAATACCCACTATAGTGCTGTGATCATCTGCCATGTAATACCCACACTATAGTACTGTGATCATCTGCCATGTAATACCCACACTATAGTGTTGTGATCATCTGCCATGTAATACCCACTATAGTGCTGTGATCATCTGCCATGTAATACCCACACTATAGTGCTGTGATCATCTGCCATGTAATACCCACACTATAGTGCTGTGATCATCTGCCATGTAATACCCACACTATAGTGCTGTGATCATCTGCCATGTAATACCCACACTATAGTGTTGTGATCATCTGCCATGTAATACCCACACTATAGTACTGTGATCATCTGCCATGTAATACCCACACTATAGTGTTGTGATCATCTGCCATGTAATACCCACTATAGTGCTGTGATCATCTGCCATGTAATACCCACACTATAGTGCTGTGATCATCTGCCATGTAATACCCACACTATAGTGCTGTGATCATCTGCCATGTAATACCCACACTATAGTACTGTGATCATCTGCCATGTAATACCCACACTATAGTGTTGTGATCATCTGCCATGTAATACCCACACTATAGTGTTGTGATCATCTGCCATGTAATACCCACTATAGTGCTGTGATCATCTGCCATGTAATACCCACACTATAGTGCTGTGATTATCTGCCATGTAATACCCACACTATAGTACTGTGATCATCTGCCATGTAATACCCACTATAGTGCTGTGATCATCTGCCATGTAATACCCACACTATAGTGCTGTGATCATCTGCCATGTAATACCCACACTATAGTGCTGTGATCACCTGCCATGTAATACCCACACTATAGTGTTGTGATCATCTGCCATGTAATACCCACACTATAGTGCTGTGATCATCTGCCATGTAATACCCACACTATAGTGCTGTGATCATCTGCCATGTAATACCCACACTATAGTGTTGTGATCATCTGCCATGTAATACCCACACTATAGTACTGTGATCATCTGCCATGTAATACCCACACTATAGTGTTGTGATCATCTGCCATGTAATACCCACACTATAGTGCTGTGATCATCTGCCATGTAATACCCACACTATAGTGCTGTGATCATCTGCCATGTAATACCCACACTATAGTGCTGTGATCATCTGCCATGTAATACCCACACTATAGTGCTGTGATCATCTGCCATGTAATACCCACACTATAGTGCTGTGATCATCTGCCATGTAATACCCACACTATAGTGCTGTGATCATCTGCCATGTAATACCCACACTATAGTGCTGTGATCATCTGCCATGTAATACCCACACTATAGTGTTGTGATCATCTGCCATGTAATACCCACACTATAGTACTGTGATCATCTGCCATGTAATACCCACACTATAGTGTTGTGATCATCTGCCATGTAATACCCACACTATAGTGTTGTGATCATCTGCCATGTAATACCCACTATAGTGCTGTGATCATCTGCCATGTAATACCCACACTATAGTGCTGTGATCATCTGCCATGTAATACCCACACTATAGTACTGTGATCATCTGCCATGTAATACCCACTATAGTGCTGTGATCATCTGCCATGTAATACCCACACTATAGTGCTGTGATCACCTGCCATGTAATACCCACACTATAGTGCTGTGATCATCTGCCATGTAATACCCACACTATAGTGTTGTGATCATCTGCCATGTAATACCCACACTATAGTGCTGTGATCATCTGCCATGTAATACCCACACTATAGTGTTGTGATCATCTGCCATGTAATACCCACACTATAGTGAGCCATAAAGTACAAGGTTTTCTTCTTGTCAATGTTATGATCACAATAATCTTTGAGGATGGCAGAGCACCTTCACAACCCTTTCTCTTGCTGTTACTGTTGTATTGGATCTATCCCAACACCTTTCTGTAGCTGCTACTGTTGTATTGGATCTATCCTAACACCTTTCTCTTGCTGCCACTGTTGTATTGGATCTATCCCAACAACTTTCTGTTGCTGCTACTGTTGTATTGGATCTATCCTAACACCTTTCTCTTGCTGCCACTGTTGTATTGGATCTATCCTAACACCTTTCTCTTGCTGCCACTGTTGTATTGGATCTATCCCAACACCTTTCTCTTGCTGCTACTGTTGTATTGGATCTATTCCAACACCTTTCTGTAGCTGCTACTGTTGTATTGGATCTATCCTAACACCTTTCTCTTGCTGCTACTGATGTATTGGATCTATCCCAACACCTTTCTGTAGCTGCTACTGTTGTATTGGATCTAACCCAACATCTTTCTGTTGCTGCTACTGTTGTATTGGATCTATCATAACACCTTTCCGTTGCTGCTACTGTTGTATTGGATCTATCCCAACACCTTGTTGTTGCTGCTACTGTTGTATTGGATCTATCCCAACACCTTTCTCTTGTGCTGCTACTGTTGTATTGGATCTAACCCAACACTTTTCTGTTTTGGAAATTATAATTGCAAGTATTTTTATTTCAGGATTTCCCTTCAATACTGTTAAACAATTACAAGGTAAATCTATTTTTATTTGATTACCAAAGTAAAAAAAAATTACTATGATTTATTTGCTAACAAGGGTATCCCCAGGATTTTATATATGAAATACTAATAAATAACTGTAATTTTTGTCTTTAGGTTTGGCCAGCAGCCCAAATAATTAATTTTTACTTCATGCCGCTTCAGCACAGGTACGTGAACAAGTTTTCATTAATATTACGAATATTTTAAGTCTTATTATTTAATTTAGAATGTCAATAAGTGCTCTTTCATGTGAACCCTTTAGCCAGATATCAGTTATTCATTTGTAATCTGTCTCATCTTAGAAGTGTATCTGCATCTTTTGTTTATACATAAAAATATTTGAGTTTCAACCAACAATCCAACATTTCTTCCTGGTTAAAGATCCTCCATAAACTTCATCACACTCCCAGTGGGTTTGTGTAGGGTTCAAACTTAAATCTAAGACTTTTATTAAGAAATTGTGAAGACCGACTGTTATGACTTTATAGAAAGTGGGATGCATTTAAAATTAAAAGGTAATTTTTTTTTAAACTGAATTTTAGTTATTTTTCAGTTTTGTAAAGTATTATTAAAAATTCAATCAATGCACCTATCTTTCACTAATTAAACTAAAAAATAAAATTCAACTATTAACTGATGATCAGTAATATTTTTGGCGAAATGAATCTACCTAGCAAATAGCTAACAGTCTTCTTCTTAATCTTAATATTTGACCGTATTTCTCCAACACAATTAAGTATTACATGACAACCTGTTATGCGCTATCTGGCCCCTTTACTTGGGTTTAAATCTGCTTTTCTTTCTGGATTTGTTTCCATAGCTTTGTCCATTCAGGAACAAAAAGGCAGCAGTTGTTTAATTTTGGAGTTTTCTCTCTTTGGGGGTTTGACCTTGGAACTATTTGGTTTAGCAACACCAAGCTCTACTAAACCCACAATGCTGATCCCCACACTTAACAATATGTGTATTTATTTTTTTGTCATTGGTGAAAGCATGATGTCATTTATAGACAGCTGTTTTTATTTAACTTTCAGAGTGTTGTTAGTGAACTTTGTATCTGTGGGTTGGAATACCTACCTGTCATGGGCATCAGAAAATAGCTCAAGGACAACTTCATGATGTTAATTTTTCTGGCATGCTGTACTGTAGTTCTAGAACACCACAGATCATATCATTCCCTTCACATTGGTTTTAATTTATTTCATGTTTCACTGAGTGATGGTGTTTGTATGGTTTACAAACATTGGAATTTTTCTTGAAAGTTGTAGTTAAATTGAATGAAACAGAATGAAAGTAAAACTGCTATATTAGCTGTATGGGTATTCATACTTGCCATGTTTAAATTTTTTTGTATATTAATGAGATGGTTGTGTATTTTTTTTAGTCACTTCACAAAGTTGAAAATGATTTTTTTCTAACATGTCTTATACTCAGGGTATTCTATTTGGTACATTGTGTGCTTCTTTGTTGAGTCCAAGTAATCAGGGACAACTAGTTTGTATAGGCATTAAGTCATAAGGACTGGAAAGTAGTGACAGCTCTTTCCATGATGTCATTGTTCTTTCTACTCGACGATCTCAATATTTGAAAAAATATATATACAGATTTCATTTACTTACAAACTGTACCATTAAACAGACAATGAATGCTTATCAAACTTAAATATCCAATATCCAGATTTTAAAAATTTACACCAGAATAGACTTTTTCACATCACTTGTAAAGCCTGTTTTTTTTTTTTATTTAATTTTACTGAGATTTTGAGACAAAACATACAAAGTAATAAACAGGACAAGATTTGCTGATATCAAAACCATGTTTTTTTTTTATATCTTGTTAAACCAATTTACAAAAAAAAATTTGTTTTCAATGTATGTCTATGTACAGAATAGATATTTGTTTGATGAGGAACTCACTAGTGTTATGTGCAAACATAAACAGAACACAATAGCCAGCATGGGTAGTTCTTGACACTTCCTCACCCTCCGTACTGGACACAACGCTTTAATGCTATAGGTACACACATACAAGACAATCAGATGTCTAAGTTTGTATGTTAACAAAATGGTCGATCTCTCACATACATTTGTACAAAAAGTACAGCGACCACAGGGAAATTTCTTCAAAATTTCTAATATGCAATTTTTCTTAAAATTACAGCTTTTCTATATAGTAAATCAATTACAAATTTTGACTTTGTTATTCTGACACAAAAAAATAAATACATTAAAAAAAATTGAAATTTAAAAAGGATTAAAATACTGAAGAAATTTTTTTTTTTAAATATTGATAAACTTTAATACACATCTGTGCCTCAAAGGGGTAATATAAATGGGGTACATTTAAAGGTCATGTGCGCAACTTAAAAGGAACAGCTGATTTGAATGAAGGGTATCATCTCAAATAGAAGAGAAGCCGAACTTAGTGTTGCAAAAGAACAGGGGAGAGCATGCACAACCCATCCATTTTACTCATTTTAGCAAGGTTCTTTTCATTCTGCTGACTGCAATGTTGAAGTCCACTGGATTGGAACTTGCTTCAGTGACCTGCAAGGCCACTGGTCATCTGCACACCAACTAGACGTGCTTTGGTCAAGCAGTCATACGGAACAGAGTATTTTATTTTTTAAAATTCTTTGAAATAAAAAAAAAAATGGGTACAAGTTCACACTGTCACAAATATAAACTAAACTGCTAGAGACTGGCTCAGGTCTACCTACACAAAATCAACAGGCAACTTGAAAACATTTCCACCAACCCAAAATACAATAGTATAAAATCAGCTAACAAATTGGTACACAACAATGTATAATAAAAAAATTTAAAATGGCCAACACTACACATAGACTATTAAATCATCCATTATTTGTACATTTACCAGCCCAGTTGTTTGATGACCATTCAGATCTGACAGCTTTAGGAATTCCAGACCACTGAGTTGAAATATGAATGGATTAAAGGATTTAATCCACATCTTTAGAGTGGATTAAAGTATTTAATCCACATAATTAAAATATGAATGGATTAAAGGATTTAATCCACATCATTAAAATATGAATGGATTTAAGTATTTTATCCACATAATTAAAATATGAATGGATTAAAGCATTTAATCCACATCATTAAAATATGAATGGACCAAAGGATTTAATCCACAAAATTATAATGTAAATGGACTATAGAAATTAATCCACAAAATTAAATTGTTTACAGACTATAGAATGTAATCCACAAAAATAATATGTGGACTCTAGAACCTAAAAAATACTGAAGTGCATCTATCAAACATTTCAAGCTCTATAAGTGGTACAAAGCAAGGATACACTTCCATCCCCATGGTAAAGCAATAAAAGATTTTAAAAAGCAAAATAAATGTACAGAACACAAAAGTTATAGAAAACAAAAAAAAATATTTTTTTTCCATCAAAGATATTTTTAATTTAAATCTCTCAGTAAACTATTAAAGTAAAATAAATAAAAAATTGCAAATAAACATTTTTAATTTCTTATAATCCATATACAGACAGTAAAATGATACACAACTCACTGTTTTTTAAAATCTATATCTCCTGCAACAATCTAGAATTTTTTATAATAAAAAATAGTTGTGTAACGAGAATTTTATGGTCATTTTTTTATAAAGAAGATAATAGCAGGATATCATTTTTATATGAGTTATCTAAAATATTTTAAAAACTTCGTTCATAGCATCACCATCAAGTAATACTTGTATGTAGCTTAAAAGGTTAATTGTATTGCAAATAAAAAGGATATGTCTGTACGTAATAAAACATTAAGTAGTTGTAGCAATCATCTTGAGCCCAGTGTTCAAGCCGACCCAGTCGTATGCTGGTCAGACTTGTCCGCGCTATTGTTCAACGTATGCAACTAAATTAAAGTGGCCATCACAACCAAAAACTTATTTATACAAAAATCTCAAACCAATCTACTACAACAATATTCTAAACACAAGACCAGTTCATTGGTTTTATAAGATGGTTGAATTAAAGTTCACCTGAAACAGGTGGTAAATGGAGAGACAAAAATTGAAAGAGGGTGACCTACAGCAGATTCATAAAATATTCTATGAACACATGGAATACAAAGAAACAATTGAAATTAGTGTGAGTAACCTACATCTCGGCTACACACTAACCCATGCGCCAGTAACAATTGACCATCTAGGCGACAGATTGCCACCAGCTTGTAGTACACACCACCCCATGTGCCAGTAACAATTGGGACCATAATTTACAAGGCAGAAATGACATGCAAAAAAATATATCAACGGGTGAGGGGATAGAGCTGGGTGTGAAAACTATAGAACAATTCAGTTTGTACATGCCCTTTATAGAATCTCTGTGCAGTGCATGTTATAAATACAAATGATATTGTTCATGGACACGTTAAATTCTCTTCATCTGTTGTATCAATATGTCCAACAGAATCTCTGCATTAATTTGTAAAGCCTTGTATATGTTCTCAACACATCACATGAGAAACCAATGAAAGAATGAGCTCACACTAAACCATTATGTACACACTCAGCTGACTGTCAGCTTCCCCTAGTGTTGTCCCTGGTGTTATATCATTTGCTCCACATATAAACAACACTGGCACTGAACAAGACTTGATAGCAATGTTTTATTTAAAACTTGACCAACTTACAATGCTGCAGTTAAAAATTTGAGTAAAAGTAGAAACCAGCTGTACACAGTAATAAAAATATTTTTTTTTTGTTCTGTCTAAAACAATGGAGCTACCATTTAAAAATTATAAATTTTTTTTTTTACATGAACTGATACAACATAAAAAAACTGCAACATACAGTCTGTATTTAAAAATGATGAGCATCTAGAAATCCGTGCAGGCCATACATCATATGGGTACACCTCATAGTGTTACTGGCTAGGTGATTTATCACAAAACCAATATTCAAAGTAAAGCTTAGTAAAGGGCCTCAACTCTGGTGCTAGTTCTTTCCCTTTATGACTTGTCAGGTTGTCAATTTCATACAATTCTAAAAGATCTGAAATTTAAAAAAAATGTAATACTTATTGCTAAAGCATGGAGTAAAAATCTGTCCTTAAATCTGGAAGCTTTGTCTATAAATAATTATTTTAATATCTGGATCCACCATCTTATGATCAGTGATCACCATCTTTTATCTTAAAGTTTAACTGATAGTACTACCATGGAGTTCAAACCACTAAAAACGTACCACTATTATTAATGCTTCGTTTCCGTCAGCTTCATTCCATGCATTTCATGTCTAATATCATCAACCTAAAGGCAAGAAAAAAAATTTAACTCTAGTAAGTCTAATATAAATACAGTAATATCAATTCACTGTGTGTATCATATAAGTGCAATATTAAAAAAATAAACATAAGCTAAACCCTAAACTTACTCTATATATCAAATATAAGCTAAAGCCTAAAATAACTTAATACACCATATATAGGCTAAAGTCTAGACTTACCCTAGAATCTCCATTGTGGTTGGGGTGCCTGGTGTCAGCCTCATCTAAAATATAAGAATAACAGTGGGTGACACAACATAACAGTGGGTGACACAACTTAACATTGGGTGACACAACACAACAGTGGGTGACAAAACATAACAGTGGGTGACAGAACATAACAGAGGGTGATAAAACATAACAGTAGGTGACACAATATAACAGTAGGTGACACAACATAACAGTGGGTGACACAATATAACAGTGGGTGACACAACTGTGGTAAGGGAGATACCAGACATTTATGACTACTATTAACCAACCATCTCCCAATATCTCCCTGCAGGTCAATTATCCCCAAGCCAATAACTGGAGTTGAAGATTACCTCTTTCAAGTGAATTACATAGCAACAATTAACCTTACTTTAACTATAAGAGATAAAGTTTGATTAACACTGGGATTAGCATTAAGAACATTCTAGACGGAGTAAACTTATACTACAATTTTCCCATTCTGGTTATAGAATCCTTCATTTGAACACTTTAGCTGCAAAATGTAAAATAACTATTCTCAAAAGGAGGGTAATTATGGTGGAGAGAAATTGAAAAGAGCCAATGGCAGTGTGGGAGGGCCTTTAACGAGCTAGAATAATTTTCTTTCAATTGAACTCACCAGCAAAAGTGATGTCTACAGCCTGAAGCCCCTTTGTCATATTTTTATTGGCAGAATCCTTGGACAACTCCTGGGCCTTGGCTATGACTGCCTGGGCTTGCACTGCATCATTTTCAAGGCTCTTCATTCTGTCAAACATGGTGTCATGGGTCAAACATGGTGTCATGGGTCAAACATGGTGTCATGGGTCAAACATGGTGTCAGTGGTCAAACATGGTGTCATGGGTCAAACATGGTGTCATGGGTCAAACATGGTGTCATGGGTCAAACATGGTGTTAAACATGGTGTCATGGGTCAAATATGGTGTCAAGGGTCAAATATGGTGTCATGGGTCAAACATGGTGTCATGGGTCAAACAAACATGGTGTCATGGGTCAAATATGGTGTCATGTGTATGTGTCAATAAATTGACTGGGTTATTTTTATGTGTCGATAAACAGACCGGGTTCTATTTTTGTGTTAATCAATGACAGAGTTATATTGGTGTGTTAAAAAAAATTGGTGATACTTTTTTATTTAAGTTCTCTCAAAATGGATGGATTAGTAAATCATGAACAGACTGGCTTACAGTTAAATTTATTGTAATAGCTTTGGTATTAATATAATTTTTAAGTACATTTTTAAAGTATTTTTTGTCTCTTCAACAGACACATATTAGAATAAATATAATGTAAAACAATGGAGTAAAATTGAGATTAAATCTATAAAAACTAAGCTGATCAAACAAAATGTGTATAAAACATGGATCATGGGAGCTGACAAACAAAATAACCCCAATGTACTTGGCTTAGTGCATGCAGCCAATGATTTTAACATATTGATGATAAAGCTAGAAACAAAATACATCTACTTAATTTTGATTCCAGCATCCCACGGTTTAGCATACTCAATCATAAAAATATTTGGACTAGTAGTAAAAAAAAATATAGGTATGTGAAGCATCTATAATGAAATGTGGCTTACTATAAAAAATCAGCATCACTAGATGGAAACAATGGATAGTTGACCACAGTTTGTATTGTTTTACACAACAAATAAAGAGCCAGGAATAAAGCTAATGTCAAATTCTAGCATAAGTTATTTTAAAATGATCTATAATCAATTTTTAAATGATAAAAATTATTTTAGTGATATACAATCATAAATTATTATATTTGTTATAGTGATGTCTTGTAAATTTTAATTAAATGTAGCATTCTAATTAAAAGCACTAAGTTTAAAGTTTAAAGTGAGAGCTCATGCAATCATGTGATTATTGTTCTTAGCGCAGGTTTTACACAATTAATTTATGTATATGATATCCTACATATAATTTAAAACATTTCACTACTGAGAAGGATAAGGGGAAAAAAAAGCCACTTCTGAAAAAACAAAATTGTTTTATCTACTTTTTTCAGTAATTGGTAATTTTTTTTAAAAAATCTTAATCTTTTCACTAATAAACACAGCTTGTAAATAAATCAGCTGTCTAAGGTCAAGTCTTCAGGTGATTATCTAAATATCTAATGATAAACAACCCTGTAAATGGTATACTTCTATCCATACATAATTAATGTTTAAAACCCCATTGATAACTGTTAAACCCTCCAATCTAATGATTGAAGTAAATAGTTGTGCAGCCATAAAATCATGTACTAATACAAAACTCCTGTAAATATAGATGTGCAGCCTACAAATCACACAATGATACAGAATCTTATAAAAAAAACTGTGAAGCCCTCCTATCTTCTACTGATACAAGAATTCTGCAAAGAGCAGTACAGCCTTCCAATGATCTAATGATAAAAAAAATTGTGTAAATAGCTAGAGAGCCCTTCACACATCTAATGATATAAAACTCCTGAAAATAGCAGAATATTTAGCAGCACTACTGTAAAGCGCTAAAAAAGTAAAAAATATTCCCCCAGTTGATGATGTCCTGCTCTAGGCACATCTAATCCAATTTAGTGTACTCTGATTAATTACCATGCTAATTATTATTTAAAAAAAAACAACACTTTTTTTTAATCTGCTTACAATTCATGGACATTAAGTTTTTGCCTTTTTTCAAGTCAGGTTGCTTAAAATAAATAGAATCCATTGTTGAGACTCATTTTCTTACATTAAAAACAAGCCCCTACCTAACCCTAGACAAGTCTAATGCCTAGAGCAGGACCACAGACTAGCAAAGGGCCATCTACTAAATGTAAGGTCTCTCAAACCTAGCCCTCCGCCATGATGCTCTTTTCTCCGCCTCCCTCTCTCTAGCATTCATGTTCTCTGTGGACGGCCCTGACACAACTGCCCTGAGATGTAAAGTGTACCAACATAACAGTGGATCACCACTTGCTACAAACTGTTGTGTTACCAAATATCTTTTCACTCACTCACACTTTGGTGAGATGTAAAGTTTACCAACATAACAGTGGATCACCACTTGGTACAAACTGTCGTGTTACCAAATATCTTCTCACTCACTCATACTTTGGTGAGATGTAAAGTTTACCAACATAAAACAGGATCACCACTTGCTACAAACTGTCGTGTTACCAAATATCTTCTCACAAATACTTAGGTGAGACGTAAAGTTTACCCACATCAGGTTGGATCACCATTTGGTACAAATGTAAGTCGCTTTAATCATAACAATATAAAATAGTGTTATTTTTTAGGAAATTCTATTCCCTAAGTTAATCATTTTGTAATCTTTTAAAACAATAATATCATAATATAAACGTGAGAAAACATTTATTTAAACCATGTCTGATTGATTCTATAGAAACCATGCGGTGCTAAAATAATCCCAACAGTTATTAACATATCAAATCAAAAAGACAAATGATGTCAAATTTAATATTTAAATTATTGGTAACTTTTTTTTAAATTTTAACTGCACAACTCTAAGACATGAAGAAAAATTTTTTTTTAACGTTTTCAATCCCCTTGTACAAAAACAGTTGCTGAAGGTATTGAGCTAAAAGTATGTAGTCATTTTAACCCTGAGGCTTTTAATTCTAAAATGTGGTTGTAAATACCAATTATAATAATATAAGACTAGGGGTAGATCATTCATCTTGTCATGTTTTAACATGTGTGGAGTAGGACTAATCTTGTTAGCATGGTAGAACTATTAATGTATTTCACATTCAAAAGAAGCAAAAAATATTTGTGAACACACAGAAAAAGTGAAATAACATATCCTGATAAGACAAAGAAAACAGATAGAAAATGTTTAGAGTAAAATATAACAGATACTTATAGATTGATCAAATTTAACAAAGAAAAACATCAAGTAACAAAAACCACACTAGAAAAAAAATAGCAACACTTAAACGGTTAAACATTATACCAACAAGATTCATGCTGTGAAGTCTGTAGAATGACAACAGAACAATAACAAAACATATTGATCTAGTGGTAGACAACAGCTACGCAGTTCTAACAAAACATATGGTAAAAAAACAGCTACGCAGTTCTAACAAAACATATGGTAAAAAACAGCTACGCAGTTTAACAAAACATGTAGTGAATAACAACAGCTATGCAGTTCTAACAAAACATGGTAAAAAACAGCTACGCAGTTTAACAAAACATGTAGTGAATAACAACAACTATGCAGTTCTAACAAAACATGTAGTGAATAACAACAGCTACGCACTTCTAACAAATCATATAGTGGTAGACAACATAGCAACTTATTTCTACAATGTTGTCAACAGAGAAAACAATGAATTGTTTTAAACTGCTGGAGACTAGGACAACAACACAAGTGGTTACATTACCTTTTAGAATCAAAACTAAGAGGTACAAGGGAAGCAGAAATAGCACAGTATCAGTACCTTATTTCAACCAAAGACTCATTTTCTTCTTCTTCTTCTTCGTTCTTAATTATTAGTGTTGAAGGCAGTTTAATTTTGGAGTTGTCTCTCCTAGAAGAGAGGCTGTCCCCAGCTAACGAGCCTCATCTGCCCGAGGGTTCGAACTCGAGACTTTTCGGTTTAGCAACCATGAGCTTTACCGACTCGACCACGCCGACCCCTAAGACTCATTTAATTTTCTCAATACACAGTGAAGCAAGGAGTTTAGAATAGCATAACTTAACCATTGGTAACTTTAATCTAGTGTTGGCAGCGAACATTTTATTTTGACAACAGTCTACAGCACAGGGGAAACAAATCTTGTAAATCTAGCCACAGAGTACACCTGTCATGCTGGGGTCAACACTTCTTTACCTACAGATCCCCATGTAAGTCCCCCCCCTCCCCCACTAGATATACGAGGTTTACAGGACGGCTACTCACCCTGAAAACATCTGGTCGAAGTCGTGGTCTGGAGCAATGTCCCCTGTCCCGCCTGCAACATAAGACAAGATCTCAGCCTGTGACATGCCACCCACTTTTTTAGCTGGGTCAGCCAAGGTCATGGGTCAGTGCATGCAGCCACCACAGTGGAGAGTACAACCAGTTGACCACCCGTCATTTTGTTAGCCAGGGTTAGTAAATATGTAGTAGGTTAGCCAGATGTAGTATATGCATCCATCCCAGTGATTTGTTAGCCAAGGTTAGTCAGTATGTAGTAGGTTAGCCAGACGTAGTATATGCATCCATCCCAGTGATTTGTTAGCCAGGGTTAGTCATTTGTAGTAGGTTAGCCATATGTAGTATATGCATCCATCCCAGTGATTTGTTAGCCAGGGTTAGTCAGTTGTGGTAGGTTTTGCCAGATGTAGTGTATGTATCCATCCCAGTGAGGGTATCACCAGATGACCAGAGAAATGTGTTAGCAGTGGCAAGTGTTACAGAAGCAGTAGAAGAGTCCCAAGTTCCATTAGTAATATTACCAATCACCAGCAAGTGTGAGCATGTTTGAGAAAAGTAAATACAAGCTGTGTGAGTAAGGTTACTTCATCTATTACATTTTGTTAGCGTCTGATTTTAATAGTAATAAATAAAAGAACTGATATATTGGTTAGAGTTTATGTGGCATCTTAGTATTAAACCTTTTCTTTAAATGGAAGAAAATATCAATAATAATTAGTGTGAGGTTAACATTAGTTGCTGAGTTTTTTAAATTAATTATTTAAATTACTCAAGTTATACATGCAGAAAAAAAATGAAATGTTAAGTCATGCAAAAATAACAACAATAAAATGTTGACATTCCCACTAATTAGTTTTCATAATAATCTTACTAATTTACTAAATCATGCTATTACTTTTTTCTTGCAGTAATCTTAATACAAGGGTTAGATTTGTGTTATGGATATCTCTAGCAGCTGAACGTACATACAAGCAGAATCTGTACACAGTGAATATTTTCATCATGCATTTCAATATTTATAATCTTTAGGGGTATACAGTTTAAAAAAAAATGTTATTTCAAAGATAACACCCAGTATAAAATAGAAATAATTAGTAGACATGGAAGATGCTCTAAAAGTACAATGGAAATTTGACACAATAAAAGTTTACTAGTAGACTACACTAGTAGACTACACCATAACATCAGCTGACTCTAAACAACAGATGTACAAAAGTAGGATCTACTCCACAAGAAAAGGGAAACACCAAGAAATATAAACAAAGAAAGTTTTAAACAAAAGTTTGACAAGAAATGTGAAATGTCACATTTTGCTCAAAGAAAAAAGTACAAAAAAGATGTTTATAAAAAATTGTACATGTCATGAGAAGAAATGTGTAACATGATGGCTGAAAGAGTACAAGTAAACCTAGTGGGCTACAGGGGACATCAAGACTACAACAAGACAATCAATTAACCTTCTTCTTGGCGGATCATAGCCACCTCGTGTTCTGAGAGGTAACTGAACTGTTTTGCTAGGGACAGGTAAGACATTGATTTATTTCAATCTGTCAATATAAAACTGTTTCGCTAGGGACAGGTAAGACATTGATTTATTTCAATCTGTCAATATAAAACTGTTTCGCTAGGGACAGGTAAGACATTGATTTATTTCAATCTGTCAATATAAAACTGTTTCGCTAGGGACAGGTAAGACATTGATTTATTTCAATCTGTCAATATAAAACTGTTTCGCTAGGGACAGGTAAGACATTGTTTAACTTCTGTTTATTTGGTTTCATTGAGTATTTGATGGATACAATGTTTATACTTTTCCAACAACAGAGTTTACAAGTATTATAATTATTACTTAGGTATCAATCAATGCCTAATTGAATGATTGTGTTTCTCAATGACATAACCCAATGCCTTAACAACTAAGCATCAGATAAGACTAACTTTCCTAAATGACTTTGTAACCCAATGACTTTGTAACCCAATGACTTTGTAACCCAATGACTTAACGACTAAGCATCAGATCAGACATAAACCAAAGACTTAACAACTAAGCATTAGGTGAGACTAACTTTTCTCAATGGCGTTGTAAACCAATGACTTAACGACTAAGCATCAGATCAGACATAAACCAAAGACTTAACAACTAAGCATTAGGTGAGACTAACCTGGAGGCCTTGTAGCAGGGACCTCTGTCATCTCCTTCTCAAAATATTTCTGTTTCTCACGGAAGCTCATTTTCTCTATTTCAGCATTGGTGGCCGCCTACAAGAGAAGGAAATATTTCTTTATTAATGTACTGCTCAGTTAAACAATTTGATACTTTAACACATGTAAATATCTTAGGTTAGACATGCAAAGGCCATGTTTAAAAATCATTGTTGAGTTATATTTAACAAGATTTAACAGACATTAATTTAACATGAATCCAAATACAAATTAGAAATATCATTTGTAACATAGATATTGCCCCCTAACTTTAACACTAAGCAATGCTAACAAGATGAAACAACTCAATGTGCTAAAAATATCAGTTCAGTCAATGCCAATGCATGACTGCAGTAATGGTAAATCCTGACCATTGCAACAGTGGGATAGAGTCAGCAACAGTAAGATGGAATCAACAGTCTTGCTCCACAACTTGTTTAGGAAATGAACTTGATCCAATCAATGCCTCTAGATACCCCAGCCAAACAAGCAGCAAACTGATCAGTTATTCTGCAGTGGAAAGCTGTGTGACTCAACAAGCCTGCCTCCCCTCTCTTTCTCCAGCCAACAGATCAATTTTTCCTGTCTCCAGCCCCGCCCGCCCCCGGGGACAAAGGAGTCCCTACAAGTGAATGAGGGCTGAATGCCCCTACTTTCCCTGGCTACATTCTATTCTAATTTCCCCAGTAGCAGATCAAACTTTAAGCTCTTAGAGTTCCACAGATACTGAAACTAATTAAATGCTCGAGATTTTTCCTCAACTACAGCATTCATGCATGATTCAGATTTCATTTATTTTAAAACTCAGCATTACATCACCCAGTAGGAAATTATGTTTCAACAGTTGGGACCTGTTCAGCAGTTGTAATGTTTCAACAGTGTGGGACATTACACGTTCAGTTCATTAACTGAGCTCAAGCCAACAGCAAAGAAAATGTCATATTGATTTTTTTTAAATACAGAAAATGTGGAGTTATGGTTGTCTTTGTAGGAACCAGCCTATAAAGTAAATAAGGAACCAGTCTATGATATAAATAAGGAACCAGCCTATGATATAAATAAGGAACCAGCCTATGATATAAATAAGGAACCAGCCTATGATATAAATAAGGAACCAGCCTTTGCTGCAAATAAAGAACCAGCCTATGATATTAATAAGGAACCAGTCTGTGCTGTAAATAAGGAACCAGCCTTCGGTGTATTTAGCTAACAGTTGGCACCTATCACTATGAGACAACCATATGCTTAGATGTATTAATGCTTTTCTCTTCATGCTGATCAATTCTTTCACCTAAAACAATAAATATTGTGTTGATTCCAACCTTGTAAAAAAATGTGAGGTTTCTAAAATAAAATGTTGCTGTACAAAACTCCAAGAGGCCATGTGGAAATTGGTTTCAGCAGAAATGCATTTAATCAATACATCTGATGCTAGAGATAAGGTCACTGTTCTGCCACCCCCACCCCCCTCTCCTACTTGATGGTGCTCAGTTTTCTTTTCAACTTGCTGGTTCAATTGATTATTTTCAAGTTTCATGCACATGAAAAGTTTCACCCCATGCCTATGGGTGGGATAGTATCTTGCTTTAATTTCACATGTTCAATTGATTATTTTCAAGTTTCATGCACATGAAAAGTTTCACCCCATGCCTATGGGTGGGATAGTATCTTGCTTTAATTTCACATGTTCAATTGATTATTTTCAAGTTTCATGCACATGAAAAGTTTCACCCCATGCCTATGGGTGGGATAGTATCTTGCTTTAATTTCACATCAAATAATTCTGGACCAGCCTCTGTTTATGAATGGCTAGATTTCCACTCAGTTAGCCAGAGCTTTAAATATTACATGAGGGGACGGTACCCAAGTTGTTTTTAGCACTGGATGATTACCCCTTATAATAAAAACAGAGGTCCATGGATGGGGAAGTACAAGGGTGACTTGATAGTTCGACAAAACTCTGGGCAAGGATAGATGGTCACTGAGGAATGTGTAGGATGTGGGGTGATGGAGATAGGATTAGGCAAATGTGGGGGTGTGGTGGAGGGGTGGTAAAGATGTACCACAGGAATGTGTGGGTGTGTGTGTGGGGGGCGGAGGGTAAAGATTAACCACAGGAAAGTGTTGGGGTGGGGTAAAGATGTATCAAAGGAAAGTGTGTGTGTTGGGGGGGGGGGGGGGGGGGGGTTGGTAAAGATGTACAACAGGAAAGTGTGGGTCTGTGTTTGGGGGGGGGGGGTTGGTAAAGATGTATCGAAGGAAAGTGTGGGGGGTGTGTGTTGGGGGTGGGGGGTGGGGGTAAAGATGTATCACTTTTAAGAAGAGAAAGACAGTATAAACAGCTAATGTGATTAGGCCCAGATCCCCACTACTTTAGCAAATAGTGATGGCTTTACTAGATCTACAGACTAGTACTAAAGCTGCCCTGGGTCTCTAGCCTTTAATGCTTACTCCCCTTTGGCTTCTGCAGGGCCACTCATTCATTATTATAACCCTACAAGCCCATTACTCCTGGCCACAGTTCTCTCCCCTGCTAGTGCTGGACCAAGTCAACAATCCATGACTCAGCACACCAATCAATCAAGCAATTATGAGAAATGACCAGTGCTGGACATAAAAGCTAATGAAAATTACTACCAGTGCTGCCATTGAGATATGACTCATGCTGAACCAACGGCCGCACAAGTGTAGTGGTCCTCTAAGGTTTCTACAACTATTTCACTTAGTTCTTAGCTTTTCTTTCTTCCAGGCTTTTACATTTAGATAGATTCTCATGTTGATTTAGTCCTACAAATCATTTCAAGCCATCATTTTGATGAAATCACGTTTTCTAATTAAAAAATAAAAACTAATTGATGTTCCACGTAGCCAGAAATAAATGTAGCATTATTTGTTCATGGTATTGTATCTCATTAGTTCCAGAAAACTTAGGGGTGAAAAGGTCATGACACTTGATCTGACCTCTGACACCAAGAGGGTTTCATGTGGCTGACTCATCATATTGCTAGAACTGTGGTGTAAACTTTAGTTTGCTTGTACTTAATGAATGAACAAACACTACACAATGTAGGTGTAAAGCATCACACTCAATTACTGTAGCATGACACTGTCAGTAGCATGACACTGCCAGTAGCATGACACTGTCAGTAGCATGACACTGTCAGTAGCATGACACTGTCAGTATCATGACACTGCCAGTAGCATGACAATGTCAGTATCATGACACTGTCAGTAGAATGACACTGCCGGTAGCATGACACTGCCAGTAGCATGACACTGTCAGTAGCATGACACTGTCAGTAGCATGACACTGTCAGTAGCATGACAATGTCAGTATCATGACACTGTCAGTAGAATGACACTGCCGGTAGCATGACACTGCCAGTAGCATGACAATGTCAGTAGCATGACACTGTCAGTAGCATGACACTGCCAGTAGCATGACACTGCCAGTAGCATGACACTGTCAGTAGCATGACACTGTCAGTAACATGACACTGTCAGTAGCATGACACTGTCAGTAGCATGACACTGTCAGTAGCATGACACTGTCAGTAGCATGACACTGTCAGTAGCATGACACTGTCAGTAGCATGACACTGCCAGTAACATGACACTGCCAGTAACATGACACTGCCAGTAGCATGACACTGCCAGTAACATGACACTGCCAGTAGCATGACAATGTCAGTATCATGACACTGCCAGTAGCATGACAATGTCAGTATCATGACACTGTCAGTAGCATGACACTGCCAGTAGCATGACATTGCCAGTAGTATGACACTGTCATATCTCAGCAACTGAATACCTAAACTCTTAAGACCTTAACCAAGGTTAGTCAAGACCTTCTTTTGTCAATAACAATTCTACATACACAACAAGACCTTCTTATGCTAATGCCAATTATACATATACAACAATAAAACAACAAGTTGTTATCTACAATAGAAGGTCCACAACTCCACACCAAGCCTCACCCCCCCCCCCACCCAACAACAAAAACCTACACACCAAGATGCTTGCCAATATACATGTTCATGCAGAAAGAGTGGGTTAGTACAAACTGCTACAGTTAAATCAACATTTTAATATGTAAACATTACAACAATCTGTTGACAGAACTTAAGTTGGCTTTTAACTTTTAATTTAAAATAAATGACTCCAAATCTGATAGAAGTAGTTGAAAACCTTCAATTGCATTAATACACTAATTTAGCAGACCCAGCCTGCCCAGAGAAGGGACTATTGTATGCATACTGTTTAACTTCTTTACATCAATACAACACAATGTAAATATAAGTTACTACAACTACGGCTTAAGTCTGTATTCGTGTGTCCTCAGTAATATTAAGCAAAATAATACTGCTATTGCTATTTAAGGGAGTTTTTCTCCATGACTAGCATTAAGGGAGATAGCTCCCATGAGAGAGTTAGCTCCCCCACCAGACAGATGCAGCAACTCCGCCTTACCTTGGTGAATACTCCTGATGGTACTCTGGCAGCTTTTCTCACATCGAAAGTTACAGCTTCAGGGGGCGAAAGGGGGGAAACAGGAATTAAGGAGTGGTCACCTCCATCTTGAAGGGAGGTGTCGTGTCTGGGGGGCACTTGCGGTTTGAACACAGGTTTAGGGGCTATCTTTGGGGGAACAAACGGGGCAGGCTTAGGGGGTGGGACAAAGGGTGCAGGTTTTGGGGGGTGGGAGTCTGTGGGTGGCTGGGAGGTAGAGATAGAAGGCTTGAAGGGAATGAAAGGTGCTGGACGGGGGGAAGTTAGGGTGGGGGTGAAGGGTTTTGGGGCCATTAAAATAGTCGATGGTTTGGGATGATCAAGTGTATTTTTTACAACAACAGTGGCAGGAGCAGCGGGGCTGAGAACAGCAGTGGCTGTAGGCTGTACAGCTGTAGGCAGTGTGACAGGCTTCTTGACATGCTACATGCAGACAACAATGAAGAAATAGATGCAAACATTTATAACTATCATATGGATTCATTCATGGCTTCATTAGCTATAAGCATAGAGTACAATGCAGCAGATATTAATCATGAAACTTGTTTAGAATAGATTGATTATTTAAAGTGACAACAGATTAGCATTGTATCACAGATGTGTTATGTTAAATATTTTTCACAGAGTTGAAGCACACAAACAAACAAGAAATTAATTATTAACATTACATCCTAAATAAGTTTATGTCAGTTTGCCAGAGGTCAATTTCTGGGTTTACTGAGTTTTTATTCAATCAAGTCTTGTAGACTTTAGTCTTGTTGGACGGATTGGTCACTCAACAAACCTAAGGCCTTAGACTGGTCACTCAACAAACCTAAGGCCTTAGACTGGTCACTCAACAAACCTAAGGCCTTAGACTGACTGGTCACTCAACAAACCTAAGGCCCTTGACTGACTGGTCACTCAACAAACCTAAGGCTGTAAACTGGTCACTCAACAAACCTAAGGCCTTAGACTGGTCACTGAACAAACCTAAGGCCCTTGACTGACTGGTCACTCAACAAACCTAAGGCTGTAAACTGGTCACTGAACAAACCTAAGGCCTTAGACTGGTCACTCAACAAACCTAAGGCCCTTGACTGACTGGTCACTCAACAAACCTAAGGCTGTAAACTGGTCACTCAACAAACCTAAGGCCTTAGACTGGTCACTCAACAAACCTAAGGCTGTAAACTGGTCACTGAACAAACCTAAGGCCTTAGACTGGTCACTCAACAAACCTAAGGCTGTAAACTGGTCACTCAACAAACCTAAGGCCTTAGACTGGTCACTCAACAAACCTAAGGCCTTAGACTGGTCACTCAACAAACCTAAGGCCTTAGACTGGTCACTCAACAAACCTAAGGCTGTAAACTGGTCACTCAACAAACCTAAGGCCTTAGACTGGTCACTCAACATACTTAAGGCCTCAGACTGGTCACTCAACATACTTAAGGCCTTAGACTGGTCACTCAACAAACCTAAGGCCCTTGACTGACAGGTCACTCAACAAACCTAAGGCCTTAGACTGGTCACTCAACAAACCTAAGGCCCTTGACTAACAGGTCACTCAACAAACCTAAGGCCTCAGACAGGTCACTCAACATACCTAAGGCCTTAGACTGACTGGTCACTCAACACACCTAAGGCCCTTGACTGACAGGTCACTCAACAAACCTAAGGCTTTAGACTGACTGGTCACTCAACATACCTTAGGCCTTAAACTGGTCACTCAACAAACCTAAGGCCTTAGACAGGTCACTCAACAAACCTAAGGCCTTCGACAGGTCACTCAACAAACCTAAGGCCTTAGACAGGTCACTCAACAAACCTAAGGCCTTCGACAGGTCACTCAACAAACCTAAGGCCTTAGACTGACAGGTCACTCAACAAACCTAAGGCCTTAGACTGACAGGTCACTCAACAAACCCAAGGCCTTAGACTGGTCACTCAACAAACCTAAGGCCTTAGACTGGTCACTCAACAAACCTAAGGCCTTAGACTGACAGGTCACTCAACAAACCCAAGGCCTTAGACTGACAGGTCACTCAACAAACCCAAGGCCTTAGACTGGTCACTCAACAAACCTAAGGCCTTAGACTGGTCACTCAACAAACCCAAGGCCTTAGACTGGTCACTCAACAAACCTAAGGCCTTTGACTGGTCACTCAACAAACCTAAGGCTGTAAACAGGTCACTCAACAAACCCAAGGCCTTAGACTGGTCACTCAACAAACCTAAGGCCTTTGACTGGTCACTCAACAAACCTAAGGCCTTTGACTGGTCACTCAACAAACCTAAGGCTGTAAACTGGTCACTCAACAAACCTAAGGCTGTAAACTGCTCACTCAACAAACCTAAGGCCTTAGACTGACTGGTCACTCAACAAACCTAAGGCCTTTGACTGGTCACTCAACAAACCTAAGGCCTTTGACAGGTCACTCAACAAACCTAAGGCCTTAGACTGACAGGTCACTCAACAAACCCAAGGCCTTTGACTGGTCACTCAACAAACCCAAGGCCTTTGACTGGTCACTCAACAAACCTAAGGCTGTAAACTGGTCACTCAACAAACCTAAGGCCTGAGACTGGTCACTAAATGAATGTATTTCTGGAGTGTGCTGACAAACACTACAGACCAAGAGACATACAGAGAGCACAAGACGTGCATGCAAGCAGTCAAGCATGAAAGTGAGTACTCACCAGTTGGTTGTTGGCTGGCTTGTCAGGTACTGGTGGTTTTACAGGCACTTGTTTGTTCATCACAGATTGGCTAGCAGACTGGGAACATGCAAGCAACCATCTTATAACCATGTCTAACCATCTTACAACCATGTCTAATCATCTTATAAACATGTCTAACTATCTTATAAACATGTCTAACCATCTTACTACCATCTTATAACCATGTCTAACCATCTTATAACCATGTGTAACCATCTTATAATCATCTTATAACCATGTCTAACCATCTTATAACCATGTCTAACCATCTTATAACCATGTGTAACCATCTTATAATCATCTTATAACCATATCTAACCATCTTAAAACCACATCTAACCATCTTATAAACATGTCTAACCATCTTATAACCATGTCTAACCATCTTATAACCATGTCTAATCATCTTATAACCATGTCTAACCATCTAATAACCATATCTAACCATTTCATAACCACCTCTAAACATCTTAAAACCACCTCTAAACATCTTAAAACCACATCTAACCATCTTAAAACCATGTCTAACCATCTTATAACCATGTCTAACCATCTTATAAGCTTGTCTATCTTATAACCATGTCAAACCATCTTATAACTATGTCTTATCATCTTATAACCACAACTAACCATCTTGTAACCCTGACCATCTTATAAAGATGTCTAATCAAATTTTACCCATGTCTTACTATCTTACGACCATATCTAATCAGACAAACCTTAAATAATCTTTCTTCACTAAAAGTTAAATTATCAAATATGAACTCCCTCTCAACCTAAACTAAAAGTATAAAGAACAAAGCCTCCTTATACCTATGTAGTATTAATAAAAGCTGAAAAAATAAAATAGCAACCATGCTACTAGGTTAAGGCTGATGATTAAAAAGTATCTACACTATACCTGGTATACATGAAACAAACCAAGCACCTACATGCAAAACTCTACTTCTTCATGCTAAAGACTGGCTTAAAAAATAAATAAAAGTATGGGATCTGGGTCTCTCTTTTCATTTCAGCTCATCATGTTCTAATTTTTGTTTGAGAGATAAAATGTAAACATACACTTAACAGAACTGGTTGTGGTGCTTCTATCTGGGCTCCATCTGCTACACTGACCATTGGGCTGGGTGTAATGGCCACTGGGCTGGGTGTAATGACCACAGGGCTGGGTGGGCTGAGCACTGGACTGGGTAAACTGAGCACTGGGCTGGAGGAGATGCCAGCTGGTGTGATGACTGACTCCATAGGTGGGGCGGGTGGAGGAGGTGAAGATGGCAGTGAAGGCAGGGAGAGAACTGGGCTCTCTAGTTCATTGAGTTTGCCAAGTTTTTCCTGGAAATCATGCAGCTAAAGTCAGACCCAGCACATGTTAGTTACACAACTCTACACAAGTTAGTACATCTGATCATCTCAATGGTAGGAATTAATTCATACATTTGTTGAAAAAGAAAATGTTAGCAAATAAGCAAAGCAAAAGCAGTTAGAAAATATAAGCAAGTGAAATTCTAGCATTCATATAATTCATGGATACAAATTTCAGAAGGGTTCATGGGATTTTAAATAAAATTTGCTTGACTAATTAACGATAAGAATTGTATCGTAAACAGAGCTAACTTAGATGATGGATCAAAACACATGCTAATTATTTCTGTAAATTGACAGTACCAAGAGAAGTCAAAACATTGAAAAACAGGGGAAGGTTTGTACAACAAACATGTTACAAACATTTTAAAAAAAATATTTAACAAGTATTAACCATGACACTTCTAGGCTCATACTTTCCCATTTTCCCATCTTATGCAAACTCGTTTATATTTATATTTTTCAATTCCATTCCCCGCCATGTACTTTTTAATCAAACTAAAGTGGTGCAAAATTTTAAACATGAAAAAAGTATTTGAACTTTCTCCGCAGTTTCAACCTTAACAAAAAAACTAAAACTAACTTTATTATTGATTGTTCCAAACAAAAAACTACTTTTTTAACCCCATGCATTACGGGTACTGAAGACACTGATTGTCAAGGGCTGAGGGCATAGAGTGCAACAATTATGTCAGGACTGCAAGTGTTAAACACTGATCTTTAAATAAGGTAAAAAGAACTGGAAATATTTTAATTTAAAAAAAAAAATTCAGGATTTTTTAAATCCCTTACAAAGTTATAGTGTTGAAGAGGATATAAAATAAAGGACATACATAGTTGATGCAATCATTTTGTTTATATTACATGTAGATTATCTACAGAGTAGTTTGATGTTGGCATACTTAGAATGTTACAGTTGGCATGGCTACAGTTATGTATTAAGGTGTACAGCAGCTGATGTTAGCAAGATAAAAATAGTGACTGGCTACACCAGTGGTTCCCAACCTTTTTCGAGTGGCGACCCCCTTTTATAAAAAGTAAGTGACCCGCGACCCCCATAGAATTAAAAAGTCGAAATTGGTATGGAAATTAATAAGTACTAAAATAAGATTTTCTAGTAGACTTTCAATATGAACTAATTTTGATAACTGTTTTAATAGCATGAGTAAAATTGCATACTATTCACTAAACCTTCGTGGTTAAGTTTTTAATTTTTTTTTGGTGACGGCTATTAGGGGCAGATAATTTAGTTTGAAACGATTTTAAACTTAGAGGAGGTAACTAAGAGGAGGCTGCTTTCACGGGGGGGGGGGGGGGGGGGGGGTTAGTGTTTTAAAGCAAATATTTTCAGTGGCAGCATTGGTACTGTCGAATTCACAAATTATGAATTACTGAAAAGTAGAAAAAACAACAACTAAATAGCGGCGTATGATACACCGTGGGTCGGCTCGTTTTATATAATTTACGACTTATACTAGCAATGGACTCTTGATGTCGATTGGTTAGGGCAGTGATTAGGGAGCTAAATCTTTTCTGTTTTCTGAAAGCCCGATTTTGAGCTAAACATAGATGGCGCACCATCCGTACAAACCCCCACAGCCGTTCTAACCCATTTTAATCATCCAGTTCCAAAAAGGATATTTATTTTCTCCATGCTATCTCCACAAAAGAGCAACTCTTTTATCTTTGCTATCATCCGCATGAATATCGACACAGACCAGCAACTGCGAACACGAACTCACGTCTGTTGATTTATCAACTTGAAAAGCAGACAATGGTGAAAGCTTAATTTCAATAAAAATGTGTTATTTAACATTTACGTACATCGTACATGCAGCGTTTGATGAGATTTTCTCCTATTGTTTTTTTTTTTTTTTTTTTGCTTGGCATTTTCTATCGCGACTTCATTTGATGCTTGCACTAATGCTGGTGAAAACTTCCTTTCGATCAAGTCTCTGGCGTTTGCAACTAGCTTCTTATCGACGAAAGAACTCCATATATTTTTTGGTGTGTTCCGAATGACTCTTCTCAAATGACGTTTTAGTTTTGAAGATTTCATAGATTCGTGACTGAGAACAACTTTGTACATTACGCATTGATGTGATGTTAATGAAGTGATGTTAATGAAGCCGAATTTCAAAAATTCTCCTAAATATTTATGTTTTGTTTCAAATTACTAAGGTTTAGTATACCAGTTGGCGACCCCCCAGAAAGACCTTCGCGACCCCCAGGGGGGTCGCGACCCCCAGGTTGGGAACCCGTGGGCTACACAGAGAGGCATTGATGTTAGAAATGTTATGTATTTATCATTTATTGACAGCTATATAATAGCTGATGTTATGTATTTATAACTGATTGAGAGCTATATATATATAACAGCTGATGTTAGATATGTTAATTTTTGTTAACTATTTATCATTTATTGACAGCTATATAACAGCTGATGTTAGATATGTTATGTATTTATCATTATTTGGCCACTATATATAACAGCTGGTGTTAGAAATGTTATGCATGTATTATTGTTTGGCAGTTATATATAACAGCTGATGTTAGAAGTGCTATATCAAGTTGAGGCTAACTGAGGTGTATATAAATCTACCTGCTGTTCCTTCTCCCACTCCTCTGTTTCCTTGAGCAACTCCAACTCCTACACACAGGGGAGATACAACACCAACACATACAGACAAGGGCACACAAGTTTTAACTACATGTACATTTAAATTATATCAAGGAAATGTAGGAGATAACATTAGGGCACACAAGTTTTAACTACATGTACATTTAAATGATATTTAGGAAAAAATAGGAGATAACATTAGGGTAAAATGTTTTACAACATGTACAATTTAAAGATATCTTAGAAAAATAGGAAAGAAAATGAGGGTAAAATGTTGTACAACAACAAGATTTAAAACAGTCCGTAGGGTTTTTTATCAGTTTGAACTGGATGAGAAATTCATTGCATTTAATGCTCACTATACACTACATATCTACGAACAAGATATTTCATTTTATAACAAAACAACCAGATCTTTGAGTTGAAATGGTGAAAGAAGATACTGAATGGGAGGACAGACATGCAGCACAATGCTACTCACTAGGAAATCTATTGAGAACTGAAACAGTGTGTTAGAGTATTAGTCGTGGCATCAAACACAGGGACCAACGCTGGACCTAACACGGCTAAATGCAGATTTACAAAGCTTATTATGTGTGTAATACCAACTACTACCATCTACTTTCATGCCTGATTCAGGAAGCTTTTATTAAATGGACAAAGGATTGTGAAAATTATTTTAGAATTTGTTTACTAATTTTCAAATTTAGAGATAGTGTAAGCATTAAAATACTTTTAAAACAGCAAAAGTACATATTTAAAATAAAAGGTATTTTGGGGAGATTTTTAAAAAATCTACTTAAATAAAAGGAAACATGGAAATAAGTTTCTATTTAAATAAACAAATGCAACTTTTCAGTTAAATTTTTCGAATAGTATTTTCAAGTTATAGACTAGTTCAGCAAATTTGTCTGCTAATTGTAGACTAGTTTAGCAAGTTTGTCTGCTATAAAATTGTTGACTAGTTTAGCAAGTTGGTCTGCTATAAAATTGTAGACTAGTTTATCAAGTTAACCAGATTTGTCTGCTATAAAATTGTAGACTAGTTTATCAAGTTAACCAGATTTGTCTGCTATAAAATTGTAGACTAGTTCATCAAGTTAACCAGATTTGTCTGCTATAAAATTGTAGACTAGTTTAGCAAGTTTGTCTGCTATAAAATTGTAGACTAGTTTATCAAGTTAACCAGATTTGTTTGCTATAAAATTGTAGACTAGTTTATCAAGTTAACCAGATTTGTTTGCTATAAAATTGTAGACTAGTTTAGCAAGTTAACCAGATTTGACTGCTATAAAATTGTAGACTAGTTTAGCAAGTTAACCAGATTTGTCTGCTATAAAATTGTAGACTAGTTTAGCAAGTTAACCAGATTTGTCTGCTATAAAATTGTAGACTAGTTTATCAAGTTAACTAGATTTGTCTGCTATAAAATTGTAGACTAGTTTATCAAGTTAACCAGATTTGTCTGCTATAAAATTGTAGACTAGTTCATCAAGTTAACCAGATTTGTCTGCCATAAAATTGTCATAAAACAATTACCTGCTGCAGGATGCGGGCCTCCTCGTCGTCCTTGTCTATGCTGGAGACGGAGCCGTGCAGGGAGGAGAGGAAACCTCCCTGGCTGCTGGGTGAGGACAGCTCCGAGGGGGAGTTGGTCTCACTCTTCTCTGGGGGCTGGTCACAGACCAGGATGGTCATCTTGTCCCCCACACTGCGCAGGGCTCGGACAGCTTCCTGGTGGCTGGCACCAAGAAGGGACTGGCCATTGACCTGGTGAAGAGTCATGTTTAATTTGGTTTATTCACATCCAGGAATACATAAACCTTGCATTCACATCCATACATTCTTCAAAAATCATACTCAATATCGCAAGTATGAAGTTAACAAGAACTATTTACTTTAAAAGTATTGTATATGCAAATCAGTTGCCTGTTTGAACTGTTCAGAACTTGGATTTTTATTTTCCCATTTTTTTCACACCTTATTTTATTTTTGAATTTAAAATTAGCTAATTTTGAATAGGAAGAGTTATTAAAAAAACATAGTTTATTTGTATTTACTAGGAAGGAACACATGGTTTAAACCTATTCATAAACAATTAAAAACATAAAATTGGGGGATTAATTAGACAAACCCACAATATAATTATAGAGAAAGTACAACCAATAACGACATTGGATATAGGTAAAATTTTAGTTTAGGGAAGTTTTTGAGTTAGGTTTGTGTCATAATATGTGACAATTTGCTGTGACAGGTTGTTAAGACTAACCACCAAGTCCCAAATGTTGTATAGAAATCTTCAAGTACCTCAAGAATCCTTTGTCCAGTCTTTAGTCTGCCATCTCTAGCTGCAGCCCCATCTTCATTTATCTGGAAACAAAACACATCCACCACATAGAAAATGAAACAGCGCAAGGAAAAGATGATTTGCTAAATTACTAAGCCATATTACAGTAAATTACAGTTACAGCAATCAATGAACCAATTAAATATGACAATAGAAACATCACTATACAAAGGTAATTTATTCCAGAAATGCATGAACAATATCATCAACAACAAACAAGACAGGCTACAACAACTTACTCTAGATATGAAGATTCCCTCATCACTCTTGTTGGGTGAAGTGGCATTCTTAGCTCCACCTTTTATGGAAAGACCCAGCTTTTCACTGGCTTCTTTCACTATAGTCAGCTCCTATGAAGGAAGAATATGTGGCATAAATCAACAACTTCATTCATTGAGTTTTTAAAATGGATTAGTAAATTCAAATAGGATACATGCATTTTTATTAATTAACTTTTTAAAATTATATTATAAATGCAAATATTAAAAGCACTTTTTTTTAAATAAAAAAAAGTGAGCAAAAATAAGGGTAATACAATTTGTCAACAAAATTGGAATTGAAAAAAAGCGATATCTTATCTGACAGAATGCTTAGGACAATGAAAAAATGAACATCAGAGTATAAAAAATGGAAGCAATTAAATGTATAGTTTACTGTTGGTATCTGTCATTCAATATAGGATATCTACTAAACTGCTAGTAGCTGTCAGATGTCATACAAACCCTTTCAATTTTGTTCATTTTTAAAAATAAGAAACTCAAGATTTTTTTTTAAGGTATGTTCACCTTATATGACTTTTAACTATTGCTTTTACAATCTCTACAGATAAGGACATAAATAATTCAGTGTTCACATCTTGTTTTGTACAATCATAATATTGATTTATTTGGACAACTATTCTATAAGGACAACTAGATTTTACAACCAGTACTGTTCTTTACATTGTATCTTTTCTCTAGTTCTATTATTATGACAGCTTAGTGTTAAGTTATAAAGCACACTGTGGGATGCCCCCGTCAGCTGTATGTAATGTTTGTGTATTAGACCAGGCTCACACCTGTATGTGTAACAGAGACAGTTCAGGTGATGCCCCAGTCCACACCTGTATGTTATGTTTGTGTGCAGGCTCACACCTGTATGTGTAACAGAGACAGTTATGTTATAAACAAACCACCCTCATCACTTGAAAAAATTGAGAAACAACAATGTAACTACCAAATACCTCAAATACCTGAAATATCACAAAGTACAGCATGCTCACTAAATTTAAACTTAAAGTAAAAAAAGCCTATAAAAATCTGGGATAATATAAGATCAAATAATATAGCACACAGGAATGAGCTAAAACATTTCTGATTCATACAAGGGGGATATACAAGAGCTAGGATCATCTCACCCAGTGCCATTCACCAATATACATAGCACCATTAACCTGGAAGTATAGTGCCACAGTGATAAAAAAAAACATCTACACTAAGCACAGGCAACTTATTAAACTAGGAATGGTGACGGGCAAGGAAAGCAGAGTTTTAAACAATATAAACAAAACAATCTTTCTATAACATCTGTCTTATGTTTTGACACGTGACAGGAATGGTAATGGGTAAGGAAAGCAGAGTTTTAATCTAGAGACATTAACAACATAAACAAAGCAAACTTTCAACATCAACAATATTGATCTTATGTTTTTAACATATCAGTGCTATAAAAAAAACAAGTTAAATAGTACAAACAAATCTTCAATGTGAGGAGGGTAAAGCAGAATTATTGAACTCAACAGTTTTGACAATGTCAGTGGCACAACTCATTAACTTAATGACAAAAAACATGCAGACACTTTCAATTTTTACATCAACTTAGTACTTAGGGTACTTCTATAGTATTTATTGAGGTCTCTCTTTATAGCAACCATGTCAAATAGCAGATTTGAAGCTGTCAACTATTTTCTCAAAATGTTTTTTTTGTGACTTTTAGTATTAAGGGCTTTAAATAGTTAAAAACACTACATAGCCAATAGAGGAGGTTCATGTTTACAGTCCAGGCTTCCATGCTGTTTACCAAGTGGTACATTAGGTAGAGCACTGACCTGTAGTCCAGGGGGTGGAGGGTCATGTCTGACTTTAAGGTGGATCTCATAGGTAGGAGAGATTAGAGCCATCACTGCTTCCTCATGTGTGGCATGCTTAAGATCTTTATTATTTACCTGCACATGACACAAGGTAAACATTTATTTAACTTTAAAACACACAGGGGTAACCTATTCCGCTATTGCATATTTCTTCTCTAGGACATTCTAGACATGGTAGGTACAGAACCATTTCACTTCCTGATACAAGTCTATCAACAATGGCTAGACAGACATACAACAATTTAACTTATAGATACAAATTGTATGAATAATGGTTATTATATGCAAAGATAACTAACTTTAACTTACAGATAAAATTCTAAGATAACTTCAACTTACAGATAAAATTCTAAGGTAACTTCAACTTACAGATAAAATTCTATCTCCTATCCTAAGATTGGTCCTAGAGGCTGCACCATCTTTGACTATCTGTGAAAAAATTGACCACAAATGATCAACTCAAGAATGTATCTAGAGAGTACCAGTCCTGCTCCGGGGTGTGTGTGCTAGCAAGTGATAAGAGTGGCACCCACCTTGGAAACAAAAACACCAGGCTCGTCCCCACCAAAAGGTTGACTGGAGTGATCACTGCCACCAACTATACTGAGACCCAAGGGACCTCCAGCTTTTACTATTGTGATATCCTACAAAAGTCCACATACATCATTCAGGAGAGACATACAACTCAATAATTTATAACATACACTGACTACCTAAAAGCTGGAGCTTTTTACAAGAAAAGTTGATACAAACATTAAAATTCATAAAATGATTTTTGATTTTTTAGATAGTAAAAACAATATCTAGCCTGGGTTTTGACCTGATTAAAAATGTAAATATTTAATTTTAAAAAGACAAGGATTGTTAAAGTTTAAACAAGGCTAAGACACAAGAAATCTAAACAAATCAATGTTAATAATTTTACTTTTAAAAGTAGTTACCATGTCCGTGACATACAATTAACACAAAGTGACTATTACTTAGGGATCTTTCTATTACAAAAAGTAAAAAACAATGAAATGTTTCCTAATTTTGTCTTCCTGAAATCTACATTTATGCTACTAATAAATTTCTATTAGTAAGCAATATTACAAATAAATTAAATGTGTGAAAAAGTAGAGGCTAATTTTTTAAGTAGCTGCCAAAACCAGAGACAGATAAACAATGATAATTTCAAATTTTACACAACTAATTAACTTTTCTTCCACATCTGTCAATTAAAAACAGTAGAGTATGATACTTGTCTTTTTTTGGTTTATTATCACTCATGTTTGTTATTTGTTACACTTTAAACATAATTGATGTTATAAAGTTATCACAGTACTTGAAAATTTAGTGATTGTATTCTTAATTTTTATGTTTATGTAACTCAATTTTTAGGTGTACATACAACATGATTGATGTATTGTTGCAATGACATAGCTAAACATGGGTTGTGAGGTTTTCAAATATATATTGAGTGAGAGAGGTGTATCAACAATGACCTGAAGTCTAGTTGTAAAGGTGCAAAAGTTGGAGTCAAATGCCTTGGAAAACTTACCACCATTGTGAACGTTAGTACGACATTACTACAATATAAAAATGAGATAATTTCAATAAGACATACCTCAACAGGGTAAGGCTGTGGTGACCTCATATCCACATGATTTGATTCTGGGCTATCATCTGGGGTGTCTACTGACATGGTGGGCAAGTGCAACACCTTCGTCACCCCTGGGTCAGCCCGAGAGTAGTTTGTTGATATGGACGGGCTGGGGGTGGGGCTGGGGGGTGAGCGTGTGACCTGAAGTACCACTGGCATGGTCAGTGTCTGTGTGGGGGGGAGAGAGGTGGAAGTTCTAGTGGCTGTAGCTGGTACAGATGAGGGGGTGGGGGGAGGGATTGATATGGATGGTGCAGCCGATAACGATGCTGTTGAAGACGTAGTCGACGGAGGGGGTGCCTTGCTGAACCCTGGGTACACAAACTTTGGAGGTTGGACTGACACAGGCGGCGCTGCCCAGTCTGTTGAGAGAGTCTTGGTTCCGAATTTCGGAGATATAGCAGACGAAGGTGCTTGACCAGTCAATGTAATGGTAGGCGCAGCAGGCTGGCTGAGATATGAGTAGGATGTTGGCACAGCTGAGGCAAAGGGGCTTGATGGGGCTGCAGCTTGAACCACTGGGCTTGCCTCTATCCCCGAGTGCCGGTTGGGAGAGTAGCTGGAGCTGAATGTGGCGCTGGGACCACTGGCTCTGCCGGCCGGGGAGAGTGGGCTGGATGGTGTGGGCTGCGGTGACCACGGAGTATTGTAAGAAACAGCACTAGCAGGAGACGGCGAGAGCCGAGGGGGTGGCTGGGCACCAACCGGGCTGGGCGTCCTGACGGGGGCGGTGCTGGTGTGCTGCCAGTTGATGACCGGCTGGGTGATGCTGGGGATACGCTGGCTGCCCGGGGGTGGGGGCTCAGCACCCTCACCTTTAGGCACAATCTTCTCCCTGTAGACCACCAGCTTGATGCTCCTGTCCAGGCCGGTCAGCAGTGCTACAGCCTGATCATGGCGGGCATCAGCCATGTCCACATCATTGATCTGAAGAAATAATGTACATGTTAGAGAATTGATGGAATACTTGAAACAAACATTCTTAGAATGTACTCATGACTGAATGAAGGACTTATTGAAACAATTAATGCTTAAATGAAAGTATTGAAGATTGAATGAATGAAACAATCCTGAAAAATGAATGACTTACTGAAACAATCCTGAATGAATGAATGACTTACTGAAACAATCCTGACTGAATAAATGACTTACTGAAACAATCCTCAATGACTAACTGAAAAATATCCTGAATGAATGACTGACAATCCTGAATGAATGACTTACTGAAACAATCCTGAATGACTTACTGAAAAATATCCTGAATGAATGACTGACAATCCTGAATGAATGACTGACTGAAACAATCCTGAATGAATGAATGACTTACTGAAACAATCCTGAATGACTTACTGAAAAATATCCTGAATGAATGACTTACTGAACCAATCCTGAATGAATGAATGACTGAAACAATCCTGAATGAGTGACTGACTGACAATCCTGAATGAATGAATGACTTACTGAAACAATCCTGAATGACTAACTGAAAAATATCCTGAATGAATGACTTACTGAACCAATCCTGAATGAATGAATGACTGAAACAATCCTGAATGAGTGACTGACTGACAATCCTGAATGAATGAATGACTTACTGAAACAATCCTGAATGAATGAATGACTTACTGAAACAATCCTGAATGACTAACAGAAAAATATCCTGAATGAATGACTGACAATCCTGAATGAATGACTGACTGAAACAATCCTGAATGAATGAATGACTTACTGAAACAATCCTGAATGAGTGACTGACTGACAATCCTGAATGAATGAATGACTTACTGAAACAATCCTGAATGAATGAATGACTTACTGAAACAATCCTATCTCCAACTTGCAGTACTCCATCTTTGTCTGCAGTTCCACCAGGAGTGACCTTTGATATGTAAATTGCCTGAAACACAAAGAATTCTTCTTTAAAATTTCTTAGTGCATCTTTAACAACAACTTTTTAATAAGTTTACCCAGAAACTCAAAAAACTGCACACACAGAATTTTCTAATTGCAATGACAATTTAAGGAAAATAAATTCTTTAAATATTTTGAATTAACTATTGTGTCCATAACATTAAAAAAAAAATACTTCTTACCGAAGTTACATATCAGAAAGAATTAATATAACAAAATTTTTTAGATAAAGAAACGTCAGTTTTGAAAATAAAACATAATGCATTAAAAATGTCTACTGGTTCGTATGCAGAAATAACAGTTTTTGTTCCTTAGGAACACAAATGTCTTCACAAGATCAATGTCATTTAATATACTGACGCGTCATGGAAACATCACAAGAGTATTATAACTGACAGTTATGCCTTGCTCAAAAAATAAATCCATGAAACAAGAAAAAAAAAAACAGAAAGAACAAAAAAATAACTAAGCAAATCATGCTTACAATAAACCTTACTAAAAAGTCATGCGGAATACTAGCAATTCTTTAAATAAACAAAAAACATGTAACCAAAGAAATTCTTTTAAAGAATAAAATAAGAACTGTAATCTAACATGCTTAAAGATTCATGCTGAATTAACAAAACATCTGTTGAGAGGTTACTATCAGAGGTCCTTCAATATTAAGCTACATCTATTGAACAATAGAGGAAAACATATCCTAGAAGGAGCACATTGCTATATTAGTGGCAGACCTCTCACTCATGTTTATACCAACCTCTAACAAATTGTACATCTGCAGAAACAAGACCAGAAATAGTTGTACCATCAAAAATTGCCAGCACACAAACACACAAAAAGGACAATTTTTTTACCATTTAGAGAACTAAACTAAAAACATAAGACCATCTTTGCTTACCATTTAAAAAACCACACAAAAAAACACGTTTTTTTACCATTTGAAACGCCTTTTTTTTACACCGAAAACATTCCGACCATATTGACACCATACAAATAAAACAAAAGCACACATTTAATCAAATCAACAGATAATCTCAGCGATTTAAAAATGTATAGCAGACACATCCACTACGCGACAAAACCTCCAATAACAGTAGACAGAGAAGGCAGAAGACTATTAAAGCACAGAGCCACATAAGCACAACTGCGACATAGACCCAACCAGCTGTAGCCTTTTACTAAATAAATAATTTTTGTTTTTACTTATTTTTACATAGCCATTTCAATTGTATTACTTTTTTTGGTGACATTATTTCAATTTATAAATTCAGATGGTATTTCAATGGAAATACAAATTTAAAACTCCAGTAACCATGTGGTTTAAAGAAGTACTAAGTCCACAAATTTAAACAGATTTTTCTGACTGTAGATTCCACACAGAAGAAACATGCAAAAAGAACATGTCAGTCTACTTACTGTATCATTCCCTTTAAAGGGTACAGCCCCTCTACCTCCTGCTATACTGAAGCCCAGCCCAGTGTGATCTCGTATCAATGTAGTTGACACAGTCTAAAACAAATTGTTACAAATCAATGTAGTTGACACCGTCTAAAACAAATTGTTACAAATCAATGTGGTTGACACAGTCTAAAACAAATTGTAACAAATCAATGTAGTTGTCTAAAATAAATTATTCATATTAATGTAGCAGTCTAAAATAAATTATACATATCAATGTAGTTCACAGTCTAAAACAAATAATACAACCTAAAATAATCAATGTCATCATATATATTTAACTAGGAAATAAAGGCGAATTTATTCAAACTATAAAACTGAAAGTTAAAAGTGTGAGTTACCTCCCCATAAACTTCTGTCTCTGGCTCAGCAGTGAAAGACACTGTTGTAACACTTTCATAGGTCGTATCTTCTACCTGTAAGGCCTAGAAAACATCACAAACTATTACGCTACCAGCTGGCCCTAGTAAACAACAAATTAGCAACACACAAATAATGCCCTATTCTTTCAACAAACATTAGATTCCTCCTGCATTAGGAGGACCTACACCTAAAACCTGATGAAAACAAAAGCTAGTTACCTCAGCATGAGCGTTGGCCACCAGTTTCTCCCTTGCCACAACCATGGTTATATCATTGCCGCTGCTCTTCAACACATTCACAGCCTCGTAGTGATCTGCATTCACCAAATCTGCATCATTTACCTGAAACATTCAACACTTTGTACAGATTAACCTTCTCACACTAAATATATGAAATAGTGTTTAGCGGGAGAAAATATAACCTCTGACAATTAGTCACTTGAAATTTCCATCAATTGTGTAAAAATCACCTTTAATAATTCATCATGAAATTTTCAAAAGTATATTGAAATCATAAATGATAATTTCTCATAAATCTTCCAAGAGTAAAATGAAATCATACCTTCAATAACTTATCCCCCTTGATAATTCCAGCTTTTCCAGCTGGACCATCTTCAGATACACGAGAAATAAATATACTCTGTTGAGAGAATTGTACAGTAAGACAATTAAAGGGAAATAATCTGGAGACCATGAAGAAGGGAGATAAATATTCTATATTAAATAGAACAACAATAAATGGGAAATAAAACTTACGAAATACACATAGGCCTACTCTGTTACATTAATTGTGAGATTTTACCAATTTTAAAGATTAACAAGGTCTGCAGCATGTAACTGTTTTAGTTAACATGAAAACATGGTATGATTTAAACATTTTACTGCACTAAATTTCCCAGAAAGCTTACCTCATCATCACCTTTGACAGGTGTTGAGCCTTTGCCACCTGCAATACTGATGCCAAGCCCCTGCCCAGGTTCTCGCAGTATATGAATAGTTAGCACTTCTTCTTGCACTTCCACTGGCATTTGCTGGGTGGGGTGTGGTGGGGATGACATGATATCCACCTCTGGAGGCTAAAAGGTTATTAAAATAATATTTTATTCATCTGTATTTAATTTTTTCCTAACCTTAACATAGAAACCAAAATAATAAAAAGTCTGTGGTTAAGGTTATAACCTTAGTTATAGGAGAAGCAACAATTAAAAACATCAGCCTTAACTTAATTGTAAGACATAAAGACAAAAACAGTGGTCTAACCTTAACTATGGGTGACATAGCTGCCGTCTCCCTTTGTTTAGCAGCCTGCGCCAAAATTTCCAGAACCTTCTGCTCCGACTCATCATCCTTGTTCACACGTTTATTTTTCAAATAATGGGGCGTGTCTCTCCTACGCAGACGATGGTCTTTGCTTTCCTCTTCAACTTCTGGTGCAAACTCAACCTTTTTATCCCTTTGTAAGCTCTACAGAGAGTACAGAAAATATAATGGTGACTTCTGAGTAACAATTACCTATAGTTAAACTGTTTATTTAATATAAATAAACTGTGTAGTTAGCTAAAGAAGTCTTTTGTAGGTACTGATGCATCTAAAGAACTAAAACAAGAGAAAAAAATGACTTACTTCCTCGTCATCAGATTCATCAGAACTCCTCCTGCCCCTGTCAGAACCAGAATCATTTCTATCCTCCTCGATGTCCCGGGAGTCATCAATCTCCTCCACCTCATTGGGAGCTATCCTGACAGTGGGCTGGGATGGCTTGCCAGTCAGCAGGGGCTGCGACTCATGAGGGAGCTCCTCATCTTCAGATGAGGATGACTCAGATGGGACTGATGGTGGTGGTGCACCTTCCAGCTCTGGGGCTACATAAACAAAATTAACACGTCAGAAAGGAAAAACAAAATACAATTCATTTTAATAATAAAAGTATATCAAACTAGAAAACTTAATATGACCAACCTTTGATGATTTCAGGAGGTCGTGGTGTTGTTGGAGCAGATCTATCATCCCTCCGAGGATACGATGAATAAGAGTTTGTGTTAGCAGATGGAGGCTCCCTAGGGGAATCTTGGCTGTAAGGCTCAGGGGCCTCATCATCATCATCATAATACCTTGAATCATGATCTCTTGAGGGCAGAAATGTTGGATCCTGTTTGGTAGTTCAAATACTACTTTAGTTACCAGGATACAAAATACGCACCTAAATATTCTCACAAAGAATTATTGAAGATTTAAATGAACAAAACCAAGTTAAGAGAAGAATATAAAGCTTTTTTATGGCTAGTACATTATAGTTATAACATGAAAAGATCCTGCAAACATGCTTAACATGCTTAGAGAATAAGATAGTTGGAAAAGGGCGTCAGCAGTAGATTGATGTAAAAACTCTCCTGGTAACTTACTTCTTCTCTGTTATCGTGGTGGGGTATAACATGGCCATCAATATTTTTATCCTTGAGAAACTTAGCATGCCTGGCTTTGAGCTCCTTCGGGTGGGGTGTGTCATGCCTTACAAAGTGGCTCTGTGTCGAAGACAGAAGATGGTCCGGTCAGAGAAAATATCAAGAACAGCATTCATATTTTTTTCTTAATCTCTCACTTCAAACAGGAAAACTAACAAGAATTCTGTATTTTATATAACTGAACCTACTCTGTACCTTAGCTCTCCACAGCCTCAAGAAAGTTAATAGTTACGTACAAAAAAAAAAAAAAAAAAAAAAAAAAGAGGACAGATCAGGTTAAAGGCTTCGTTACAATTATTTTAGGTTTACTCAACTCTCATCGATTTGTGAAATAAAATGCGTACTTTGTGCAGTAAAAGCCTGTATTAATTTTTTTTTGCTGATTTGAGAGCTTAATTTTGTTTTTTTTTAAACAATGGATTATTAACTTGTGCAGAGACAAAAACAATATGAATTTGTTTATGTTATGCTGTTTGTGAAAAACTGTCAGAAAATAGACAAGTTGCCATAGAAGTGTACCTAATATATATTAGTTAGTTGTCTTCTCTGGACTTACATCCTAAATTTTCATGCTTTCAAGAAGAAATTATGTAAGTAAGGGTGCAGAAATTGTTAACATGCTAACGACGTTTGAGGCTTCTCATCACGTCAGAGCTTCAAAAAGCTTGTGATAAAAGTTGCCTGAGTGACTGCTGGTATGAACCTAGATACTCACAGAATCAGAGTCCGAGTCCCCTCCCGTGTCTATCTTATCATTATCCTCAGCAAATCTAATAACACTGTCTCTAGGCCTGTCCTTATCAGTGAAGCTTCCTTCTGTAGCTATGCTGCCCTTCAGGAGATTCTCTGAAAGATTAATGCTTGCTTTGTCACAAGACAAAAAGATTCAGGTTTATTTTAGGATTTTCAAAAGTTTAATCTTTATTAAAATAAGAAAAAATTCAGTATTACTTTTTTAAAATTCATGCTTGCTTTGTCACAGGGCAAAATATTTTTTTGTAGGAATCGAAAAGTGTAATTTTATTTTAAAAAAGATACTAATACATTAAATTGTGCTGATGGATAAAATGGTAATAAATTGAGCCCTAAACGTTAGCAATGGGTGAGAAAGTGAAGAGTGATTTACCCATGCTCTCTGTGTGGAAGCCTTGCTGGGGTAGCAAGAAGCATGTGAGAACCCTCTGGCCAGTCCTCTCATCAAAGTCTGTCTGGAACTTGAGCATGGGCTGGGCCTGGTTCTCTGACAACCACAGGGCCTTCAGGTTCAGGTTGGCAATGGTGAAGGGAAGGTACTCTAGCCTACACACACAAATACAGAAATCACTCAGCTACTAACAAAAATGAGACATTTTTTTTTAAAATTGTACCAATGAAGTAACATTTATTGTGTAAAGTTGCCTCCAATTCAAAGATTAAGAAGAAAAATATTTTTTAAAAACATAGACAAATTACACCAAGGATATAAGTAAAAGGTTGTTTCAGTAAATAGGTGCCACTTTGAATTAAAGCATATAAAAATAGATCATAGGAATTAACTCTACTTAACACTGGGGAAAAGAAATTTGATGTAGATCTAGTTCAAATAAATAGATGAAGGAATTAAAGAGATACTCTAATTGAAAGAATTAGAATAAAGTAGCTAGACAAGAGCCACAAATATCAATACCTTGAATGAAAATATAAAGTCATATGTTGATAATGTAACAAATAAATGAAAAAAACTGTCACCAGAATTTGACGACATGAAAGAACTAAGGCCAAAACTTGAAGACATAAAAGAGCTAAGGCCAAAACTTGACGACATAAAAGAGCTAAGGCTAAAACTTGATGACATAAAAGAGATAAGGCCAAAACTTGATGACTTAAAAGAGCTAAGGCTAAAACTTGACGACATAAAAGAGCTAAGGCTAAAACTTGACGACATGAAAGAGCTAAGGCCAAAAATTGATGACATAAAAGAGGTAAGGCCAAAAATTTATGACATGAAAGAGCTACAGCCTAAACTTGAGGTCAACAAACTCTCACCGGTTGCCAGAGACATCAAGCACCTGCAGCTTGTTCAAGTTTCCCAGCTCCTGGGGTAAGCGGAGCAGCTTGTTGTCCCTCATAGACAACACACCCAGCTTGTTACACTTGCCAATCTGTAGAGAGGTGGGTTACAGTAAATAAAACAGGGCTAACACCCCACAAAACATAACACCCCCAGCTTGTTACACTTGCCAATCTATAGAGAGGTGGGTTGCAGTAAATAAAACAGGGCTAACACCCCCACAAAACACAACACCCCCACAAAACATAACACAACACCCTCACAAAACATAACACAACACCCCCAGCTTGTTACACTTGCCAATCTATAGAGAGGTGGGTTTCAGTAAATAAAACAGGGCTAACACCCCCACTAAACACAACACCCCCACAAAACATCACACAACACCCTCAGCTTAGCTTGTTACACTGAATAAAACAATGGTGCTAACAACCCCCTCAATGCAAACACAATACTCCCACAGTGCTAACATAACACTTTAATAATGTAAATCTCTTATGTGCTAATTGTGCTAATTAACTGCTTTATTCCCCAACCAAAATTATCTTATTCTTGGATGTAGAGTTTAAACCTCCTAAGCCACAAGGAGGGACCTACCTCCACAGGAATCTCTGTAAGCCTATTTCTATCCACATTTAGGTTGTGAAGATTTTTTAACTTGCCGATAGAATTTGGAAGATCCTGGGAAAAACAAAAAAATTTATCATGAAGTACGTGAGTACAAAAACAAAGCAGTATCTTGTATGAAGATAACATGTGATGTGTTGAATTTTGCTAGAATGATTTAAAATAATTACTGATATATGATTAAAGGACATCAACTTTCAAGAACTGGCAAAACAAACTATATAAACTACTCTATTTTACATATCTACTATACCAAAACCTTTACCAAAATAATTAACTTGCCGCTTAAAAAATAGGTAAATTACAGTTAATTTTTTTTAACTTGAAACTCAAAATTGTTTATTTGTAATACTGTACTTACAGAGAGCAGATTTTCTGTTAAAATCAATTCTTGCATATTTTCACAGCTGAGGAAAAGGAAATGTTACAAGAATTTATGCTCTTCATTCTATTGATATGTGCTTTAAAAATTTTCATACTACAAAATGTTTGTCAAGTAATTTGAACTGATACATATATCTACAGGAGAAAATAGCTGTCTAATGATATAGCTAAATCACTGGAGGCTGAAGGAGATGCTATATACACATATTTTGTGGGTGAAAGTAAAAAAAAAAACCTGTCTGATAACACAAAATAAGAAATTGCAACAGCTAGATAAACTTCTTAAATTTGATGTAATAAAATAACTATATGAGTGCATCTTTTAATGCACAATAACTTTCACTCACCTGCCAATTTGAGAGGTAAGTGATAAAAGTCTATTCATGTCCACCTTCAGAATGGCCAGTTTTTTAAGGTTACCTAATTACAAAATAAACACATTTTAAGTTATTTTTTTTTAATTTAAAGAAATTTTAAAAGAAAAGAAACCAAGTTAATAATGACAGCATGTCCCTACCTATTCCCTCAGGCATATACTCCAGCCCATTCTGTGACAGACAAAGATCAGTTAAGCTCTGCAAGCCCCCAGTCTCCTCAGGGAGATAATCCAGCTGGTTCTCTGATACATCCAGTATAGACAACTTCTTCAGGTTACCAATTTCCTTGAAACAGCAAAATGTTGACACACGTCACATAACAACAAATCTATTACAAGGGTATCATGTGGCCAAACTGCATTAAAAATAATTGTTTTGTCAGAAGCAAAAACTTGCTGGTTCTGAAATTCAAGCTGGCAGTGTAAACAGTCTAGTTTAAACAGAGCCCAGGCAATCTGGGTTAAAGGTTAAACAAGGTAAGACAAGGTAAGCATAGAAACAACAGGTAAAAAAGTTCATGTTCAAATATTTCAAATTATCCTATTTTATCTTTTTACAATTAATAAATAGTGCTAGACGGAATTATAAAGAAACAGACCTAGCTCATATGCAGTAGAAGCAAATACACTGAGCTGATAGATTGGTAGCAAAAAACTTACAGGTGGTAGGTCTGTGAGATAGTTACAGTCCAGCCACAACTCTTCTAGTGAGGGGAGGGAACCAATGGATGGTGGCTGAAAATAAGGGGAATGTTGATAAATGGTGGCTGAATATAGGGGGAACAGAAATGTTGATAAATGGTGGCTGAATATAGGGGGAACAGAAATGTTGATAAATGGTGGCTCTATAAGTCATAAATGGTGGCTGAAAGTAAGGGGAATGTTGATAAATGGTGGCTGAATATAGGGGGAACAGAAATGTTGATAAATGGTGGCTCTACGATAAGTCATAAATGGTGGCTCAAAATAGGGGAAATTTTGATAAATGGTGGCTGAAATAGGGGGAACGGAAATGTTGATAAATGGTGGCTCTGTGATAAGTCATAAATAGTGGATGAAAATAATGGGAATGTTGATAAATGGTAGCTGAAATGGGAATGTTAATGAAATGGATAAAGGCTGTGAATATCAGATGGCTAAAAAAATAAACCGGGAGTGATCTCCCCTAAACTTTCTCGAATATTCTTATATAAAATAACAGGGGATGGGAACTCGGGCTATAGACATGATTTTTAATCCATTTTAAATACTTTAAGTTTAAAAAATAGAATAAAATCTCGTAGACAAATTAATTGCACACCAAGTGAACGCGAAATAAAAAAGCGCATAATAGTGCGCAATATTATTATTACTTTTAAAATTTACATTAGTTTTTTGAGAAATCGGAAGTAGCGTAAAGTACTACTTCCAGTCAACGGAAATGACTCAAAATTTAATAGAAGGTAGAGAATTAGATCTTTTACTTACGTATGAAATTTCATTTATCTATCTGAAATAGTACTCAAGTTATAGGCTTTTGAAAAATTCAAAGTAGGAAAAGTACCACTTCCGGTTATCGGAAATCGCTCAAAAGTTGATACGGATCTACGATTTTGATAAAATACTTATATATGAAATTTCATCAACCTAGCTGTAACGGTACTCAAGTTATCGTGTTTACACACGGACACACACACACACACAGACACACAGACATACGGACAGAAATGCAATTCCCAGTTTTTCAAACTGGATTACGCATAAAACCTCTAAATTTTGATAAATCTGGATTGATAATTTTTGCCCGATTAAAATAAGTCCTCTATACTTCGGATGTGATGAAGGACTGAGGTGTAATACGGTGAAAATTGTTAAAATTTCAAGTGATTTTTGTGCACGATTACAATACTTTCTCTATACTTTGTATATACGAGAAAGTAAAAAGGGGGGGGGGGGGAAATGATTTATTATAGTGACTGCGAATATCAAATTGAAAATGGCAGTGGAAAGGTTAATGCTAAGGTGAGGACAGTAGATAAGTGAGGGAAATGTTAATAAAGATCATGATGAAATGAAATGTACTGATCAATAATATATATCTGTAATCATCATGATCTTCTTGAATGACTCTAAATAATTGACCAGCCCCGAGAGCTATTATAGAAGAAGTTGTAATGTACCAGGTTCTCCAGATCATTGCTGCCCAGGTCTAAGATCTTGAGCTTGATGAGAAAGGATATGGACTGTGGGATGATCTTGAGCATGTTGTCTCTCAGCTCCAGGGAGACCAGGCTTGTCAGACTGTAAACAAATGGTGGGAGGTGTTTCACACAACATACATTGGCTTTGTTCATCACATACAAGTTTTGTTCACATGAAATGTATAATTATTTTGATATAAGCTTTATTCAGTTCACAATGTGGGGCATGGCATATCTTGTAACTTTATTTTGACCATCTTCTGGTATAAAAATTTTGCTCAAACTTTCCAGACACTTTCATTATTTAAATTTTTTTCTTAATCTAATTCAACATTAGGTTAGTCATTTAAATTTGATTTGAAAATTACTGTATTCAATAATAAAATACTAGCAATCACTATATCACTTGGCCGCCAAAGGTGTACTTTTTTTTCATAGCTGAGTGACTTTTCTCCACAAGCGTCAACCACAAAGAAGGAGAAGGTAATTGTCTTTTTACTGATTAGTTTTTAATGCAAATATTTTTAGTCAAGGCCTATGTGGTGTCAAATTTATTTAAAACAAATTACTAAAAAGTAAAGAAAAAAAAAAGAAATATAAAAACTTAAAAAAAAACCCACTTTTAAATGCACTGAAAATAAAAAAAATAAAACAAACTTGTTCTTTAGTAAAAGCATTGGTTGCTAAAATATGTAATAAGAGATCTCATGAGTGACCACTGCTTTTAATTTATTAAAGCAAACGATTTTTGTTTTATTTTCTTATTTTAAGTGCATTTAATTTTAAAAGCTTTTTATTAAATAATTGTTCTATTAAACAATCTTAGTATAAGGTGTAACATGGGTGGGTATCAATGTACCCTCTAAGGGAAAAAGCTAGCATGCAACATGTATTTTGATTGCACAGTGTTCTAAAAGTCTTATACAAGGATATATGTATTTTACAAAAAGACTGCCAGCAGTTAAAAGCTTCCGCGCAGCCGCCCAACCTCGCAGCTTAGAGGAACATAGGTGGGTAAGTCTGGGGTAGAAGAAAGCTCACCTGGCTATGTCATATGGCAACCTCTGCAGGGCTACATCATTAAGGCCAAGTTGTGTCAGGTTGCGCAACTGTAATAAACCATCGGGGAGGCTGAAGAAAGACATTAGATTAATCAGCCAAACTTGTGTGTGGGTTTTGTTACTTCATTAAAAACTGGATAATTATACATCATGTAGGCAATTCTGAATGTAAAACTAAATGTGTAGAAGATTTATAAAGGTTCATGCTGGTGTCTGGGCTGTTGTGCGGGTGTGCAGGGGTTGTGCAGGTGTATAGGGGTTATTGTAGGTTATGTTGGTGTCTTGTTGTGTTGGTGTCTAGCAGTTGCGTTGGTGTCTAATGGTTGTGCTGGTGTCTAGCGGTTGTGGTGGTGGTGGTGGTGTCTAGCGGATGTGCTGGTGGTGTCTAGGGGTTGTGCTGGTGGTGTCTAGGGGTTGTGCTGTTGGTGTCTAGGGGTTGTGCTGGTGGTGTCTAGCGGATGTGCTGGTGGTGTCTAGGGGTTGTGCTGGTGGTGTCTAGGGGTTGTGCTGGTGTCTAACGGGTGTGCTCATGTCTAAGGATTGTGCTAGTGTCTAATGGTTGTGCTGGTGTCTAGCGGTTGTGCTGGTGTCTAGGGTTTGTGCTGGTATGAAGAGGTTGTGCTCTAAAATAAGAATAAGTGGACCATGTCTCAAATCATAGCATTAGAGGACAACACCTGTCATTAGAACATGCAATCAAGCTCACAATGTAACCAGACCTTAATGAGAATAACATTTCTATGTGACAGACAAAAAAAATCAATTGAGACATGCTGGTGGACACAGTAATTATAATGTGCCTCCAGGGCTTGGTCTCCTTATGCTTCAGCAACCCATGTACACAGTTGGATGGCTTCAGCAACCCATGTACACAGTTGGATGGCTTCAGCAACCCATGTACACAGTTGGATGGCTTCAGCAACCCATGTACACAGTTGGATGGCTTCAGCAACCCATGTACACAGTTGGTTCAACAACCATGTACACAGTTGGTTCAACAACCATGTACACAGTTGGTTCAACAACCCATGTACACAGTTGGTTCAACAGCCCATGTACACAGTTGGTTCAACAACCCATGTACACAGTTGGTTCAACAGCCCATGTACACAGTTGGTTCAACAACACATGTACACAGTTGGTTCAACAACCCATGTACACAGTTGGTTCAACAACCCATGTACACAGTTGGTTCAACAACCATGTACACAGTTGGTTCAACAACCCATGTACATGGTTCAACAACCCATGTACACAGTTGGATGGCTTCAACAACCCATGTACACAGTTGGTTCAACCATCCATGTACACAGTTGGTTCAACAACCCATGTACACAGTTGGATGGCTTCAGCAACCCATGTACACAGTTGGATGGCTTCAACAACCCATGTACACAGTTGGGTCAACAACCATGTACACAGTTGGTTCAACAACCATGTACACAGTTGGTTCAACAACCATGTACACAGTTGGTTCAACAACCCATGTACACAGTTGGATGGCTTCAGCAACCCATGTACACATTTGGATGGCCTCAACAACCCATGTACACAGTTGGATGGCTTCAACAACCATGTACACAGTTGGTTCAACAACCCATGTACACAGTTGGTTCAACAACCCATGTACACAGTTGGATGGCTTCAGCAACCCATGTACACAGTTGGATGGCTTCAGCAACCCATGTACACAGTTGGATGGCCTCAACAACTGATGTACACAGTTGGATGGCCTCAGCAACCCATGTACACAGTTGGATGGCCTCAACAACCCATGTACACAGTTGGATGGCTTCAGCAACCCATGTACACAGTTGGATGGCCTCAACAACTGATGTACACAGTTGGATGGCCTCAGCAACCCATGTACACAGTTGGATGGCCTCAACAACCCATGTACACGGTTCAACAACCTATGTACACAGTTGGATGGCTTTAACAACCATGTACACAGTTGGATGGCCTCAACAACCCATGTACACAGTTGGTTCAACAACCCATGTACACAGTTGGTTCAACAACCCATGTACACAGTTGGTTGAACAACCCATGTACACAGTTAGTTCAACAACCCATGTACACAGTTGGTTCAACAACCATGTACACGGTTCAACAACCCATGTACATGGTTCAACAACCCATGTACACAGTTGGATGGCTTCAACAACCCATGTACACAGTTGGTTCAACAACCCATGTACACAGTTGGTTCAACAACCCATGTACACAGTTGGATGGCCTCAACAACCCATGTACACGGTTCAACAACCTATGTACACAGTTGGATGGCTTTAACAACCATGTACACAGTTGGATGGCCTCAACAACCCATGTACACAGTTGGTTCAACAACCCATGTACACAGTTGGTTCAACAACCCATGTACACAGTTGGTTGAACAACCCATGTACACAGTTGGTTCAACAACCCATGTACACAGTTGGTTCAACAACCATGTACACAGTTGGTTCAACAACCATGTACACAGTTGGTTCAACAACCCATGTACATGGTTCAACAACCCATGTACACAGTTGGATGGCTTCAACAACCCATGTACACAGTTGGTTCAACAACCCATGTACACAGTTGGTTCAACAACCCATGTACACAGTTGGATGGCTTCAGCCACCCATGTACACAGTTGGATGGCTTCAACAACCCATGTACACAGTTGGGTCAACAACCATGTACACAGTTGGTTCAACAACCATGTACACAGTTGGTTCAACAACCCATGTACACAGTTGGATGGCTTCAGCAACCCATGTACACATTTGGATGGCCTCAACAACCCATGTACACAGTTGGATGGCTTCAACAACCATGTACACAGTTGGTTCAACAACCCATGTACACAGTTGGTTCAACAACCCATGTACACAGTTGGTTCAACAACCCATGTACACAGTTGGTTCAACAACCCATGTACACAGTTGGTTCAACAACTCATGTACACAATTGGTTCAACAACCCATGTACACAGTTGGTTCAACAACCTTGTACACAGTTGGTTCAACAACCATGTACACAGTTGGATGGCTTCAGCAACCCATGTACACAGTTGGTTCAACAACCCATGTACACAGTTGGTTCAACAACCCATGTACACAGTTGGTTCAACAACCCATCTACACAGTTGGTTCAACAACCCTTGTACACAGTTGGTTCAACAACCATGTACACAGTTGGATGGCTTCAGCAACCCATGTACACAGTTGGATGGCCTCAACAACTGATGTACACAGTTGGATGGCCTCAGCAACCCATGTACACAGTTGGATGGCTTCAGCAACCCATGTACACAGTTGGATGGCCTCAACAACCCATGTACACAGTTGGATGGCTTCAGCAACCCATGTACACAGTTGGATGGCTTCAGCAACCCATGTACACAGTTGGATGGCCTCAACAACTGATGTACACAGTTGGATGGCCTCAGCAACCCATGTACACAGTTGGATGGCCTCAACAACCCATGTACACAGTTGGATGGCTTCAGCAACCCATGTACACAGTTGGATGGCCTCAACAACTGATGTACACAGTTGGATGGCCTCAGCAACCCATGTACACAGTTGGATGGCCTCAACAACCCATGTACACGGTTCAACAACCTATGTACACAGTTGGATGGCTTTAACAACCATGTACACAGTTGGATGGCCTCAACAACCCATGTACACAGTTGGTTCAACAACCCATGTACACAGTTGGTTCAACAACCCATGTACACAGTTGGTTGAACAACCCATGTACACAGTTGGTTCAACAACCCATGTACACAGTTGGTTCAACAACCATGTACACAGTTGGATGGCCTCAACAACCCATGTACACAGTTGGATGGCCTTATGTCAGAAATGATAGCCAGAGTTCAGTTGGATGTAACCACCAAAAGATATCATTATAAATTTTCCCCTTCCCTGAACATATTTCTGCTGCATAGACATTTTCTTCCAATTTTTTTATTTTCTTGTAAAGGCTTAAATTCAACAGATGGGATGAATGAGAATGTACACCTCTGATTATTGGAAATTATTTTTTTTTGTTTAGCTCCCAAGGTTAACTCCGATGAAGATCATTAAGGTACAAAAAGAAAAGCTCAGCTCAAGGGAGATAATAAAGCAGTAGAAGTGAGGGGAGGTAATAATGCATGTAATATCCTAATTTCTTAACACCTCCTGCCAGCGAAGTGATTTCTTCTGTGTGTTGTTACTTCTACCAGCCGGTGATAGAGTAAATATCAATCCAACTAATCCAATGATACGATTCTTCAAGCTGGACGTGCGCTTTAGAGACCGGTGTGTAGAAATCAACACAGCAGCGCACACAGAAAGAATGTTGTTTACCACTGGGGTCACAGCTAGCGATAACTGATGCAGGGTCTAGACGTATCAAGCACAACCTTGGGACTCTGGGCCAGCTATCCAAGTGGTCGTTCGGTCTCATCGATTAAAGGGGGGGGGGGGGTTGTGTGTGTGTGAAATCTGCTCACGTTTCCTACTCAAAGTCGGCGTAATGCGGGTTCAACCCAAATCAAGTTACAAGCTAGGAACGGGAGATGAAATCTACACCAATGTAGCGACAAAACTTACACCTAGGTAGCGACAAAACCTACACCAATGTAGCGACAAAACCTACACCAATGTAGCGACAAAACCTACACCAATGTAGCGACAAAACCTACACCAATGTAGCGACAAAACCTACACCAAAGTAACGACAAAACGAGGAAACCTACGCCTACGTAACAGCATGACCTAGTTAGTACCACAACACAGCAGGTGCGCGTGCACGGGCGGGATATGTAACTAGTAAGTCATCATGACTTGCCTCGGGATATGTAACTAGTAAGTCATCATGACTTGCCTCGGGATATGTAACTAGTAAGTCATCATGACTTGCCTCGGGATATGTAACTAGTAAGTCATCATGACTTGCCTCGGGATATGTAACTAGTAAGTCATCATGACTTGCCTCGGGATATGTAACTAGTAAGTCATCATGACTTGCCTCGGGATATGTAACTAGTAAGTCATCATGACTTGCCTCGGGATATGTAACTAG